TTTCTCCCGTCTCCATGTTCGCGCGAGATGTTACATATCATGATATCACCAGAGAAACCATTATATTAGGAACAGCGCTCGATTGATCGATCAACCAACGATTCATTGTTCCAGTAATCCAGACGCTGATAGCGATACAAATGGACAATCATAGCATAAACTGGTCACCAATGAACTGCCATATTATCATTATGTCAAATGATGTATCTCAAGTACTCCTAAATCAGCATTCAATATTCAGTTAAATAAACAAGAGTGTCGACCGGCTCCGCTACCCGCTCCAGTGTTTCCATGTCAGTGATGTGATGTGATAGAAGTCTCTCCAAATGCTCTCGTGCCGGCGCCCACTGATGATGGGTATGTATATTCTCCACCGGTGGAGCTAGAGTTCGTAGGCACTATCACATCCTGTTCAATGTTATTGTTCTTCTCTTTTTGCTGTCAACTCTACTGTTGACTGTAAGCACTGCCTGTGTAGGTCTCAAACTAAACTGCATATATACCCGATCACTTTCAAGACACTTACTCTATTTCGATAAGATCTTCCTTTTCTGGGATTGATTTGTACTTGGTGTCCATAATCTTACACTGGGTATCCACATCCATTAGCACCATTCTTAGAGATCACACCACGCTAGCACACGAACGTTGAAATCGCTCGGTAACTTAGTGCAATAAGTGGGGTTCCTGGACTGGAAGCTTTTCTTTAGTGTTTCTAATATCTGTTAACCACGCAGTTTTGCCCATTGACTATATATGCGGGTGGAATTCTGGAGAAACACGAGGTGTGAAATATGGGGATAATTTATTCGAACCTCTGATTTCTACATCATGTGTTGCTGGTAAGGGGCCTCCTGACATCTCGACGAATGAATGTTAAAGCACAACGTCGCAACATTGACCAATACTACGTTGGCAAGAGACCGAGGCAACCAATTTCTTGGCAAGCTAAACACGAGAAAACTTCGCGCCTTTATCTCCTCTCTTGGAGGCAATTACTCTTTATTCTATACGCTCTGTGCGGAATTTCGGTCGCACTTGAACGTCCTATCGTGCTGAAACGGTATTCCCTCTTTCGAATTTGGTGACTGCTACTCTACCCCTTTCGAGGGCTGATATCATGACTAACAAGATACGATCTTGAATTCAGGGCGTCGAGCAGGAAGTCGACTGCACTGACAAACATGTCATCCTCTGAGCCTGGGCGCTCATCGCAGAAAGGTTCAGACAATGATGGTTCTATGGGGATTATGGATGCGGCTTCCTTTGTGAATAAGGTGAAGGTAAGGATCTCGTCAAAGAACATGTTATCCTCTTTGCACCTCATACTAAGGATTTGCCCACCAGCATCGGTTCGCTGAGCGCCCGGAGCTTTTTAGCGAGTTTCTTCTGATCTTGCAGGCGTACCAGCGGGAGTCGCTGCCTTTGCGGAAGGTGTATGAGCAGGTCGAGGACCTCTTTGGCGGGGAGCCAGATCTGATGAAGGATTTTAAAAAGTTCCTGCCCGAGGCTACAGCTTACGGGCGATAATAGGGTCATTTTGTTGTCGACCTTAGATGGCCCGTAGGTAGACCACCTTACATATCCATTTCGTCCGCAGTGCTGACGTGCTGGATATGTAACATCAAGTGTTCTCCATAGGTTCAAATAACAAATGTCCAGGAGCAACTATACGTACTCGGCAAAAAATGCCTTCGTAATGTCCCTCTGTATGATGTTGAAAGCGGCTGTGCTATCCACGGTTGGATTGAAGTCTGGGAGAAACCAGAAGACCGAATGATTGCGCGTGGTCTAGTGGTCATCGTGATATCACAATCGAATGTGACTCACGATGTCCAAGTTAAACGAGTGACAGTCATCGAGCCAACCTCCATCTCACAGCTGAAATATCACACTTAACCTGCTTTACACAAAGACTTCTTCCCGCAACCATATCGTGACCAGACCCAGTACAGGATGTCCAAATTACCGAAATGTGAGCAAGAATTTCAGGATGAATATGAGAGATGGAAGCGGGAATCGGCAAGCATAAATGATTACGAGGCATGCCAGGGGGCTTTCAAATCGTGGATTGCACCTTTTCTTGAAGAACGCGATTTTGGTTATGCCGCCTTACAGCGGAGGTGCCGCTTGCTGAGTATCAAACCGGTGCCAGGTCTGAAACCTGAAGGTGAATCGCAGGCGAGCCTGCCGAGCTACAACGATGCTTGCAATGAGGGAAAAAGGGAGGAAGAACTGAATGCGCTGATGGAAGCCTACTGGATAAGCAATAGGACCTTGCTCTCTATGGATGAGACAATGCCTTTGACTTCGAATGTGGAGAAGATTGATATCCTCCGTTTCCACCGAGATCGACATGGTCGCCCGTACAGTTGGGTTATGGATCGTTCGACGTGTGCGGACACTGGTGGATGCTGTGGACGCGCTTGTGGCTGTTGCGAAAAGCCGCTGTTGACATACTATCGTCCAATGGGCTATAGGTATCCCGACAAAAAGACGAAAATCGATGTATACGGCCATTGCACAGCTGAATGCCCTTGCTGTATCCAAGTCCGGCACCGCTACCATCCCCATCCGCGGCTTCCAAAGTCAGCTTTCTAAGGCTAGTCGGGATGGAAAGAAGATGAGCTGGAAAGAAGGGAAAGTGCAACTCTTGCTTTGTATCTTAAATCTGTGGCTTTGGCACCGTTTCTCGAGTCTTCCTTTTGCTTAGCAGACGAGAGTTGACCGTTCATTTCTTGTTCTAATATACAATACCAAAGACTCTCTCTCTCACTCACTTTCATTGATTTCGCTCTTTCTTTCTTTCTTTCTTTCTTTTTTTTTTTTCTCACCATGCCGTTCACTATTGATACGGCACAACTCTGGGCCGCCGTCGTCCTTGTCTTCACCTGGAACGTGCTAAACCTCCAAAACCCGGTTATAAAGGTGTTGCTTGACTGGCTAAGTGTCCGCCTCCAGCTTTGGCTGGACCGAAGGTGGTGCGTACCTCTTTCTTCGTTTCTCTCTTATCCCAACAACCCGTTTGGTGGAAGGCTAGTCGCTGATAGATAGTAGGCCTTTGCCAGAAGGGGGGGGGTCCAGAGGTCAGGCCAGGCCGGGGGTAGAGGAGTGGTTGTAGTGGAGGGGAATGAGGAGAGTGTAGGGGATGAGGATGAAGTGTGGTGGAGTGCAAAGGAGAGTGTAGGGGAGAGAAGAGAGGAGAGTGTGGAGGAGGGGCCTGACTCGCCTGGCAATGGACCCCCTGCCAATTCAAGGAACACCATTCATAACTTGGTTGGACATTGGCTGTACGTGGTGTCAAACCTCCTCCTGGCTTCTTGGATGCTGATAGATGTTAGACATCGGCGTGACAACCGCAGGAGAAGGGATCTCGAGAGTGGGTTGTTTTATAGGGGACGGTCGAGATCCCCTCGGCCTGTGGCACGCCGATCGCCAACTACGACGAACCAGCCCGACACCCGTGGAGTAGCCGGCGCCGGTGAGCTGAACGCCATTATCTCGGGGCTTCTGCCAGCCAGCGTCGGTGTTGATACCACGGGTGGTCAAACTTGAGGACAAGGCGTGACGACCCAGAGCTGTACGTCTTTCCTTTCTTTCCTTTTTATCATTCCTTTTTTTGGGCGTTCTGTTTTTGTTTAGTTGTCGTTCTTTGTTTTGTTGTTTTTGTCGTTCTTTTCTTTTTGGCCTTTTGGCCTTTTGTTTTTCTTTGGCTTTTCTTTTGGTTTTTTGGTTTTTTTGTTTTTGGGCGTTCTGTTTCTTTTGTATAGGGTTGGGCGGGTGGGCACCTTTGTTTTTTCTTTTTCTTATTCTTTTTCTTTTCTTTTTTTTTTTCCATCTGTTGTTCTAGTTGTTTTCTTTCTCTCTCTTTTCTTTGTTTATGTCTTCTTTTTGCTTTCACCGAGCCATTCATAAAGTCCGAAAGCATTGTTTCTTCGTGTTGGGTTGTGCATTTACTGCTGATTGTTGGCAGAAACGAACATCCCAAGACGACCATCACCGTCCATCTTCGGCCACAGGGGGTTTTCTGGGACAGGAGCTATTGGTCTGCCGGGTGGGCTTGCGTCTTCTTATAATTGGTCGCGCTCGACGATACTATCTCGACGTCGTATACGTTGTCGCTATGGTTTGGCTAGTCGGCATCAAACAGTAGTCTTGTCGAGGTCATGGTTGCAAAATCGACCGTTTCTGCGTGGAATGGAGCAGTTGGGCTTGCATCGAGAAGATACAAGTGATATGTCTTTCTTACTGTCACTGGACGACCTAAATTGACTGTCCAGACTTGGAGGGTACTTCGGCCGAACGGGGGTATAGGATATCCTGGGCTGCAACTATTCCGATCAGGGAGGGGAGGAGACACCAGATCCTGGCTCGAATGGGTTCCGATCACAAGAAAGGGTGAGGTTGGAAAATCCTATTACTGCGACATCTCGATGAACGAAAAGCATGCCCAACTCAATCACTCGACACCCGTCCGCCCCTCCGACACCAGGTATAGTGGCATTCCCAAGAAAGGAAGGCGAGACTCTTGGTTGCTCTGCACTGGAGAAAGGATACTAGCTGTCCCATTGCGTCTTATGACCTGTCCTGCATAGGGTATGTGACTTGAGCGATGAGATATCTGTTTGCATACATGTATATAGGCCTGCCTCTGAAAGGCGAAACTGGTATATCATTAGGGGCTACCACATACTACTCCTTAACACGAAATGCAAATGACAGTGCCTTGAGTCAAACCAGCGAACCCCATTGCAAACCAACGTTCATCTAGACCGGTCCCACTCAAATTATGGCAAAGGTAAGCTACAAAGCCTAAATGCCAGTGAGAATCTTCCTCCAGCAGATCAAATCTTCTGGCAAAGAACATTCGGTGAGAAATGGCCAGCCCTAGTGGAGTTGATACTGTCGGCCTAGAGCCTCCAGGTATACAACAAATCCCCTGGACATGCCACCGGATCTACGTCTCAAGCGTAAAGCGGCCACTCAGAAGTACCTATCAACCGTCTGCCCCTAAATCAATCGGTATTATTCGTCCAATATTGTGTACAAATGCGATAATGAAGAAATCCTGCAGCATACGATAGGAGTCATTGGACTTTCGCATGGGTTCGCGAATTACGATGAAGATCATCAGGCGACGCTGTAATATCGACTTGTATAAAGGTTCAGAAATTTAGCCACATAATAAGGCTGCTACTGAGCGTTGGGTAGCATTGGATATGGCACTTGCTGTTCAAGCTGTCGAATAATGCCCCTTGCAAGTGACCGAGGCTAATTGCCATTTCCCAATCAGCATGGCTGAATGCTGCACATGTTTCCGATCTCGATAATAGAAACGATACGCAAAACCATCCTCGATGATTGAACACCAGGGAGCATCTTCCCTAAGCTTAGGAGGCGATTCCTGACACGACACGTAGTGATTCCATGTCCAGGGCTAGGGGCTTTGATGATCCCCGTGGCCCCATGGTACTCAAACTGAAGGATATCCCAAGGCGTAGTCGTCAATGCAGGGGCTAAAGGACTTCGACTCATTTACTTCAGCCTAAAAGTACTACGTGGAGCTTTTCATAGACGAGCTTCCATAGAGTGGTTGTGCGGTCTCCATTGCAAAGCGTTTCCTGCGAAGCAGCGGACAACTCATAGGTTTCCCATATTGTTTGGTGCACTGTGGGAAGGCAAATAGAGATCTAATGAGGGTTAAGCTATCGCATAGTCGCAGGATATGTGCCTCCTCTACATTGAGTAGCGTGTGTCGACTACTGTGTCGGTGGGCTTGGCCAGGATCCATCCTTTAGTCGTGTGGATGTTCCTGAATGAGCGTCTGTGGCGACTCGGGCGTCAGGTAGTGTTTTCATCTTGTCCTTCGCCAGGCCATTCAAGCGCAAGAGTAATCGAATTAGGGATGAGCACTTGAATTCATTCATTTGGTGAAGGGGATGTATTCACACATTCGCCAAGTCTAACGTCACTCTGCATAACTCCTAGTTTTTTGAAACTCCCCACTCACGGTTCCCAGCTCAGGAGAAGAAAGGCTTGGAATGAATTATATGCCAATGCACCCTTCACTTATGGGTGAAATATCCATCGGGAATCATGGCTTTCGCCGGGGTTGGGGGAATTTGGACGCACAAACAACTCCAACCTGGATTCATTCGGCTCTACGGAAATGGACTCCCAGTATTTCCGCCCGAACTCCAAAGAAAACGATAGGTTTACTATCCGTGCACAAGGCTTGGGCCGGTGGATTGCAGGGAGTGCCGTTTCCTTGAGAGGGTGCGAAGTTAGAACATCCTACGTTCAGCATCTGGATATTACACATGGAAATGACATCGAGATCGTTATCAAAGATCGGGTGGATGAACCATGTGGGTCAAGGCGAGAATCGAACATCGTTAGTTCATTTCACGGCAGAAGGACTTCGGTATATGCAGGAAACGGCGTTATTCTGACACCATATCACTCCACAATCTCTACCAGTCTGCTTATAAGTGTCTTAACTCCGAGCTTATAAAAGTCCCAGCTCCACCTACGTACGGTCGCAACTAGATATGCCAGATCTGTTCGACATGCAGACGTGCTCAATGAGCCCGAGTAGCCTTAATATCGCAAGGACTGTAGGAAGGGCATTCTGGAATCCGAACATGCATATCTTTCCACCTGGGATGGTTCATAATAGCGCAGCGAAAGCATTTAGGGCCCGCGATCTAGACCAGGTCAACGCTGAGCCCAGATTATTGCCAACCCGAAGATTTCCGATGGGTAACGGATCTCGTGATGCGAAGAGCATGCGAAGGTCCGAAGATCGGTTCAATTTGTTAAATACGGCTATTAATAGTGCTCAGGGAATATTCTGTCCCGTAGAACACTGCCAGCCAGCCCTAAGTGCGACAGAACAGAGTCCGCCTCGTCCAACTAGAAGTATCCATGCTCTACGAACGTAAACAAAGTCACTATGTCCGATTGACTTGTGCGAGGACGGGGTTAAACGGTGTTGGACATGTCTACGCCAAAGAAATAGGAGCTTCCTCCTAGTCGCAACGATGAGTTTACCCCTTCTCCCCGTGGCGAATTCTGCGCCAACGATCGGATGTCGGCTCGCTTAAACTCTGCGGCAAGTGCCGGATCCCGCGCAGATACCAGCCTGTTCGAGGATGGGTTGCATCTCACGCAGAAAGATGTCCAGCGTCCAGACGTCTCCCATCGCCACCGTCCTCTCCGCATGAGGGTCACCTCCCGGGTTCAGCAGGGAGCGGAAACAGGCACTATATATGCCAAGCGACAACGCATTTGAGCCGGGAAAGAGTTTAGACTCCCCGGCTGCGATTTTACCGAGAGGACCCATATTTCATCTTCTAGCCCTGGTGGAGGACCCGGAGATGGAATCCAGCTATCGATCCCATTCCCCGTGTCTGAGTGGCCGCTGGGATTTATTTCGACAAACCATATTTGCAAATCAATTCCAGAAAATAGTTAAAACTGCATTCTTATCGTGCAAAGCGGCCCCACATCAATGCAGCGACGTCGGATTGCCGAGTCGTCCATCGCTAAGCCATGCATGCAGAGGTGCATTTCCGAGACGACTCGGAGGCTCTACTTGTCCTCTGCCATCGCGTAGTCTCTAACCGAGTCTGACAGAGCTATCTTGTAGCTTACTTCCAGAGAATTAAAATGTAGTCTTATCTCCCCCTGTTCCCTTCCTTCTTATCTTTCAGCCACACCCAGTTGAGTAAGGGTAATTCGATTACTGGCAACATGGTGATGCCCTATCTCCCTGAATACGAGGGGCACGAGCCGCAGAGCAAATTGACTCCTGCGGTGGCTCCCTTCGCCGGACGACTGGGAGGGAACCAGGATTTTGTAGTAGATCGCAGTGATCCGCGCAATGATAAGGTCCTGGAGAAGGTGCCAGACGCGGCTCCATGGATGTCGCTGAGCGAAATCTTTGACCTGCGTGGATTTTTGAGTTTGGATCTCTGGAAGTTCGCTTTCCTGGAATGCATTGGTGCGTTGACGGATGATCGTGGGCCCTTGCCGTACTCGTAGTGGACGTTCACTAACTTGGGTCGCATGGCAGCCAGCATGATGAACGTCTTTATCTCAGCATGGGTCACCCTCCATGCGCCCGCCGCCGTCGAAGCCCCCAAAACCGAAGTGGGCATCTACCATACGCTGACCTTCTTTTCGCCCCTGTTCGGCGGGATCACCAATCTCCTGTTGACGCCATTGCTCATCTATACCTTTGCGCCGTCGAGCGGCGGCCACATTAGTCCCACCATCACTCTAGCCACGTTGTTCGCGCGGATTATCTCGTTCCCTCGGGCGATCCTATACATGGCAGGCCAGACCCTTGGGGGCGCGCTAGCGGGATTCGCCATACACACGGCTTACGGATCCCGGGATTTCACCGTCGGAGGTTGCCATGTGGACACCTCCCTAGTGCCGGTGAACGCCGCCCTCATCATCGAGTTCTTCGCCTGCTTAGTGTTGATCTTCCTCGCGTTTGGCGTGGCCCTGGATCCCCGCCAGGCGAAAATCTTCGGGCATGCCGCAGGGCCTTGGTTGGTTGGTGTCGTACTGGGCGTGGTCTGTTGGGCGACTGCCTTCACGCGGCCGGGTTATATTGGAGCTAGTAAGCTTGACCGGAGAGAACCATCAGGGAGGGACTGCACTAACGGCTTGATCAGGTCTCAATCCAGCACGTTGCTTTGGGGTTTATGTCGCGTCGGAGTTCCCCGGCTATCATTGGGTTCATTGGGTATGTTCGATTCCGGCGATCATCAAACGGCTTTATACTGACGAGGGCATCTACAGGTGGCTCCTCTCGCTGCGGCTGCAGCTCATGGTCTAGTATATCTCATTGATCCCCTCTGGAGTGATCCCCGTTAAGATGTATAATATGGTTAATAATTTGTATAGAGTAATAACTTGAAGTACATATTGTTTCTCCAGATACGCCTACCATTTTTAGGGTCCGAAGAACGGGTCTGCGCACGCATTATTTCGAACTGTGCATGCTGATAGGAAGATTCTCGACCAGGAGATTCGTGATTCATTTAACCACAAACAGCAGTAGTGGTCTCAATTGACATACAGCCTTTCACCAAATTGCCCTCTAACTGGGTTCTCTACTCAAAAGAGATACAAGTGAGGTGGGCTGCTGAGCTTTTTAAGCGCCAATATTTTTTCCTTTCTTGGTAGGTCGAAAGTAAGTACATACTAAGAAACGGACAAGTTCGTCCAGGATTCAGAGATCCGCCTAGCCCATGCAAGACACCCCTTGTCTAGCTAGGTGCTTTTTTTAGATTAGAGTCCTTTGCCAAGCATCCGATGGGATCTTTATTCGTCAATCTCAGCATCGCAAGTGGACCCGTTCGAGGCTTGGGGAGAATACGAGTACGAGCTTCAAAGCCACATGGCAGCCTGATCAACAGCGACTTTCCCACCACATATGTCACTGCTGTAGTGTAACTGCTATGCAACTCACTCAGAATCAAGTACATGAAAAGACCATTTGGAAGTTTTACGACGGTTGTTACGGTTGCAGTGGGGAAATAATTCAACCATCCGGAAACCTGCAACGCGATGTCATCCGTTGAGAATCCAAGCATACCAGTGCCCCATCGCCCTTTAAAAAACAACCCACCCAATGACTCTGCTGTGATTCAAAATACCGAGCGATCTCCAGGTTTACTTACGCCAGGGCTCGGAATAGATACTACGATCGGGCAGAGTCGATATCATGGCTCCACAACTTCCCTAGCCCTGAGCCACTCTGACACAGGCACCAACGAAGGGAAACGTAGACTACTCATGGTTTACATTCATGGATTCGTTGGATCCGAAGAAAGCTTCCATGATTTTCCCAAACATGTTCATGATCTTTTGACAATATCGTTACGTGAGACCCATGTGGTCTATACGAAGATCTATCCTCGGTATAAGACTCGGGGACCTGTGCATATAGCCCGGGACAATTTTAGCCAATGGTGAGATAGCTGGGCTACTGCATCTGATATTTAACTGAACTATACTGAGCATCCCCAGGATTTCGCCCCATGAAGCTCCAGACTTAGATGTCATTCTCTTGGGTCACAGCCTGGGAGGCATCGTCGCCGCAGAGGTTGCACTAATGCCAATACAGTCTGCAACCAGGCTTGTGCCGGACACGAGGTTGAACCATCGGATATTGGGACTGGTCAACTTTGATGTGCCCTTCTTTGGGCTTCATCCTCGCGTAGTGACCACTGGAATTGGGAGACTTTTCCGCCACAAACCGGGCGAAACTAGCGACACAACCGATTCAGTTGCATCTATAAATGAGAGCATCTCTAGTCCGGACACTACGTTCAACCCAGCCTTTCAGAATGATGTGAAACTAACGCAATGGAATGGCTGGGATGGCGCATGGCATTTTATCTCGAAGTACTCACACCACTTATCGAGGTCGATTCTGCAGTATGCTTATTCATATTATGACCACGCTGGGTGTATGAACAACTACCCCGAGCTCTTCAAGAGGCATAAACAACTGATGAGGCTGGAGGCAATCGATGAGTTTAGCCAAGATTCCCAGGCTCAGAGTCGTGGTGCTTCGCGAGTCCGATTCGTAAATTACTTCACCAAGAGTACGGGGACAATAAGAGCAGGAGGAGCAGACAACTCATTTTCAACTCACATAGTCAGACATGAGGACCTTCGTAAATGCGATTGGCAGGGGATCTTGGAAGATGCAACGAATATACTCGAAATGGACCACAAACCCGGCCATGCTCGGCGGAAATCATCGCCACACGGTTTAGTTGATTCTGCTGGATTGTTGCGGAGAAAGCAGGACATATGTCCTAAATCAAGTGGTGGCCAGCATTCATCGTTGCATTTAGAGTCTTCTGTGAGGACCGTCGTGCAAAGCGCCGTAACGGATGGCCAAGATGAGAACCCTAAAATGGGCTGTGAGAGGTCTAATCAGTCCCAGGCAGCTCGCCGACAGTTCTGCTACCTTCCGAAAAATATATCCAATGGCAAAGAGCACCTGTGGATTCCAGTGCAGATGGAGGGCATTGACGAGATCACGGCCCATCAGTCAATGTTTCTTCCTCAGGGTACATACTATGACAAACTTGTTGGAGATACAGTAGCGCTGATTGAAGGCTGGATAAGCGATGATCTGACGAGACGAACTATTCTAGAAGGTGGCTTTTGTAAATAGACGTGCTCTGCAACTAGAGTCAGCCAGCGTTGGACACCCTTATGCGATTCGCATAGCTTCTTTATCCTGCTCTCGGTGCTATTTTCTCTTTCATACATAAATCCTCCTCGTGTTTGGGCCGTATAATCACAAAAATAGGCCAGGAACAAGCGTTCCCGCTACGACCTGAAAGTGGCAATGGTAGGATAAGAATATCAATCCCAGTTATCCAACTTCATAAATACAATAACTACGCGGAACGGAAGATGTATGATCACGCATGGGCAGCAGGAGCAGCACCCTCAGCAAAGACATCATTGACTCCTGTCACGACCCCAAGATTGCCGTCCCGATTAACTCCTAGCCATTCCCGGAGCTGAGGACTCAAGGTCTTCTTCGTTTCCTCCGACAGCCCAGCACTCCAGTTCACCTGGCCCCTTAGGAAGGGGGCATTGTAGGCCCCGAACAAAAGCGCCCGCTGTTTATCCTCAGTTATATTGCAACCGGACGTGTGCCAGAGGCGCCCGTCCATCACGATGATTGACCCAGCCTTGGCCTCGAATGGCACTAGGAGCTTCCTTGCCTCCTCATCTGAGGGCACTTCCGCCTTAGTCTTCCAACGATGGCTACCGGGGATATACAAAGTGGCGCCGTTTTTGTAGTAAACATCATGCAAACACCAGATCACGTTCAAGCCCCAAGTCGACAACCAAGGATCGGGGCACTGCAGGGAGAGGTCAGAGTGTAGGCCCATAGACTTGGATCCGGGCAGTGCAATGTTTGCTGTGAAGTTGGAGACAAGGAAGTTTTGGCCCAATGCGAATTGAACCATCTCCACAGCGACAGGGTGTGAGATTAGCTCGCGGAAAATAGGATCCAGTTCCATCAGGTAGAATATACGGACGTTGCTGGAGTTGGGATCAAGCCAGTCAAGGTAGGTTGGATCGCCTCGTCGTTCACTCTCTTCCTTTGCCTTCCAAAGGCGATCAACAACCTCCTTTGTTTTTTCGACATCGATCACATCAGGGACGATGGCCCATCCGTCCTGCTTGAATTTGGCTTTGGCTTCTGCGAGCTGTTGGGCACTCACTGCACTGGTAGCCATGGCTTGTCCGATAGTAAAGTAGTCCAGGATTTACAGGAAAGTAAGCAAAACAATATGTAAGTTTTTCCAGGGAAGAGCAATAGCCATGACTGAACTAGTGATGGGTCTTCAGGGTTATTAACAGCGTGGCTATGCATTAAACACAGCATGCATCCAGCTCAAATGCCGAGAGCCCTAACCAATGGCTGTGCCTAAGGATACACTATAAATGTTTCTATTGCCGATGAATGGAGCGAGAAAAGGCATGGGGCGTTGAGACCGTGATATCAAAGCTTAAGTTTGAGCGTATGACACATATGGCTGCAGGCATTAGGTGGACCAGCATTTGTAAGGAATGATTGGATGTCTATCGTCTAGTTGACCCAATCAAGCCTCCTCCGAATCCAGGGGTGTGATTAGGCCGATACCCAAAGCTGTCACTTACATGCCAAGTAATTAGAAGCTGGTTTGCGCCTGTCGGACCGTCAGAATACGCCGGGGATCGTTCGGCTTGTGGAGATGACATGCAATAGTAGAGTGAACGGCGTGGCCAGACATTATCTGCTAATTGACCATGGTTTTGGCAACATTACAGCAGAACTTCATGGAGAGTCGTTGTGTTCAAATCACACAGAGCATGGAGTATGGGATTCCTTTAGGCTCCCCTACGGTTGAAGACACTGCAGTGGACCCCAAGCCTTTACATAACTTAAGCTTAGGGTGTTAACCTTAACCACACTCCGTGACTGGAGGCTGACTATATTTAACACACGTACGTCGCCAAACCATAGGAGCTATTAGGACAACGGTGGCAACCAAGGTTGTGGGGAGAACCTTTAATGACCCTGGAGAGTGGATTCGGTGAAGCTGACCATGGGTTAGTGCATCCTTCTACAATATTCATACGATAGCCGGTGGGCCTCGACGGGTTTGCGGCCTTATCAGACTATATTAAGCGCCACTTTGCCTAGGATCTTGATCCTTCCATGCAGTACTTTCGTATGCGGACTAGATGACACTCATGTAGTATACAGGTCACAGATTACGGAGTACTGTGGATCGTAAAGATCAATGATGTGGCCACTCGGTCTTTCTCCTGGAGCTAGGGTTCATGCTCAAGGGACAATATGCCATTAGAACAACTAGGTTATTGAACAGCCAACCTCTCGGCCAGTATAGTGTTCCGGTATCACCCATACCATCTTCATTGTAATTGTTGTTTTTAACACAATCAAATTGTCCTTGATATGCCACCGAAACGACTGATCCGCTCATTGCCCATTCAAGAAGACGGGACCAGTGGTCGGTTGGCGTAGATGCATGAGTATGCAGATCATCTCCTGCGGAAGCTAGCCAGCCGTTACCCAAATATCTGTGCCGTCTTCTACCGTACGGGCGGCAAACGTCCGAGTCTGCTATCTTTGCACGCCAGGGGAGGCCAGGCGAGGACCGCGAATATCCCGTGTGGACCCTATCTAGGAACCACTCCAATAAGATTAAACACCAAGTGGGGTTTGTGGATGAAGTTGAGAAAGTCGACAAAACAAATGAAACAAAGACGATCCCCACAGCATCGTTGCTAACGGCAATACTCCTTCGTCCTGTGCTCCATCCCAGAGGCATAGTATGTCCATACTGACATACAATATCGTGTGCAGAATAATTGACCCGTAGTGAAGGCCATCCTAAAGCATGTAAGCGCCTTAAATCTTGAACTGCGCCGAATTTGTCTCGTACCTCAGGAGCCGTTGTTGGTTCCTTCTTACGCGTCGAAAATCCTTTGATAGTAGACTTTAGAGCATGAAGCTAGAGCGGGAACTCTTTAAGGCTAGTCCTCTCATTAATAGCGTACTCTAGTTGAATGCCTTGGCAGAAGCAAAGTGGGCATAGGGACTACTTACTACCCTATCGGAATAGAGGCAACAAAAGCCTCAGTAGGTAAAAGGGGTGAGACTTGACTTCTTTTAAAAAGGAGCATATACGCGCTAAATTCCATGACAGGACGCTACTGTCAGCCAAACTCGAAAAGCCCCACTTCATCGATGATGTAGCCCTAGTTGGTTCACTCTCCTATGCGGGATCAAATGCCGACGTGACGTGGGAAATAAGCAGGAAGCAGAGAGAGAGAAAGACGCAGCGAGACGCCCATCGCTATTCGACATTATATCTGCCAGTGCGACTCATGGGGCCTTTCAGGTGATAAGACCTTCACGAAATGGGTATCAACGAGAACTTGCAGCCCATGACTTGGGCAGTGTCGATGCCATTCGTAGTCATCACCAGCTTGTCATGCATCCTTCGAATATACTCTCGTCTTTGCCTCTCCAAGTCTTTCGGCGCCGACGACTGGTTTATGGTAGCTGCGAGTGTTGGTTCTCTTCTCTTTCATTGAAGACTCAGTACTAACAGTGGTAGATAACATGGCTCGTCAACCAGGGCATCTTGGGGCAGATGATTAGGTTTGGAGGAGGAAAGTAAGTTGACCGTTCTTGAGGATAGTTGCTTGTCATACTCACAGACCCTCCTTATAATAGACAGGATAAAGATGTTCCACCCGAAAACTTGCTAAAGATTGTGACGGTAGGTCGGCCATGATGAGCCGTACGTCCCACTCGCTTACCCATCTGAAAGCTTCTCTTCGTCATTGAATTCGTGTATATCTTCTGCCAATGGCTGATCAAGATGTCCTTTTTGACCTTCTATCTTCGAGTATTGAGTATCTCGCCATTGTACAAAAAGATCGTATATGGAGTGATGGCCTTCACCTCGGCGCAGACCTTGGCTGTTCTGCTTTTTTACGGGCTGCAATGTCTTCCGTTGGATGCCTTCTTCCATCCGGAGGCCCATCCAAATGCGCAGTGTATCCCCACGGCAGTAACGCTGTACTTCCCTGCAAGCATGGTGAGCTGAAGCAATATCCGGAAAAGCTGCCGGCTAGGCTCGGAGTTCTGATAGCATCCCACCTCATAGAACGTCTTGACTGATCTCCTCATCTACATTCTGCCGATCTATCCCCTATGGACTCTACAGATGTCTGCACGGCGACGAGTGGGACTGATCGTCTGTTTTACTGTCGGTGGGAGCACAATTCTGGTGTCCCTTCTCCGCTTCATCGTGCTTGTGCAACTGGCCAGCGGCTCCAGGACCTTTTACGTCTACGGCTCCGTTGCGATCGTCACGACAATTGAGCTTTGCACGGCAATCATGACAGCCAACATGCCCTCTCTCCGATCCGTCTGGAGGACACATGTTTCAGGAACCTTGTACGGCTCAAGCGGTCGGAAGCAGTCTTCGTACGAACTGGGAACGACTTCAAAAGTCCGCGGAAATAGGAGGATGATCAAAAGCAGCATTGTCCAGAGACTGAAACAAGGCGCTACCAACGTTTTACACGCAGACTCGGAGGAGGAGCTTTGCCACAATGGTGGGGGGAACATTGTTGTCAGCACTCAGGTCAACGTGAGTAGCGTAGCAGATACCGGTGCTAATAGTCCACGATTACCAGCCTCATACTACAAGCTCAGGTCGACTTAATAATGGTTGACACAATGGTGCTAGTTTGTACGATAGATAGTACAGCTGATTAAAGCCTTGGCTCCATCAATTGTCACGTTGAAAACGCGTAGATGGTAGAGGAACCCAGGGCAGAGAACTGGGTTCTCGAGGGAAACCGTACCTCTGACCTGCAACAATCCAACTGTTCGGTTCAGCGATCTGCCCTGCATAGTGGGCCCGGCAATCACTGTGTCGCCCCTGGAATAGCTCTTGGGAGTGTGTCATCGGCTTGAAAATCATGGTAAAAAAGTCGACACCTGGTTGGACATAAGTTGCAGCGATAAAAGTTGAATTGATGTAGCCTCAGATACGGCGTCTTGAAGATCAATGGTCGGTTCTCTATGTCTGGAGATTCTTGGTTTTTCAACGGTCGCATTCTTGGTAAGTATGTCTTAGGATGCCCTTATGCGCCGATGGAGCCATGCCTTTCTCATCCTGCGGTCGCAAGCCCGTGCGGAGAAAAGTGATCGGCGCATGCATCGGTTAATAGGAGTTTGTGGCTATCCGAGTGTCAATGCAACCATCGGTCTCCGCACTTTAAAGGAACTTGCTATCCGCTCGAGTTCAAGGAAATCAATCAGATGATGCGAGATTGATCAGGGTTACAGCGAGATGTCTCACTATATCTGCCCCTGAATCCATCGTGTCCACCAATCGGCGAATCTGCATATCAACGGGATGCGAAGCTGAAGTGCGCTTATGCAGGTCGGACACTGGGCAATTTCCCCTCAGGAAAACTACCCTAATTGAACCCAGCCATGATGTCAAGCGCTGCCTGGGGGTTTCTTCAAACCCGTATCGTCAGGGGAGGCATATTTGAATGTGGCGTGCGCGCTCTGAGTGACGGGCGTAAAATGCTTACTCGTCGCCATTTGCGCAATGGGGTTCTTACGCTTCTATACGTCGCTGGCACTGATCTCTGCCTCGGCCTTCCTCGTCCGGGGTCAGAGTGATGATTTAGGCCTCGCGAATGGCTATACCAATCTGAAGACTGACAACTTCGACCTTCGGCTCGTCACGGACGCCCAGATCCTAGCGTCGCTCAAGCCATCCGGATCATCCTTTGACTTCTTACCGTCCGATTACTTGCCGTACCGAGCAGCCAACGGTCAGTACCATATTGGAGACATCACCTTCCGGTATCGCGCGGTGGGGGATAGCGAATGGACTGCCGGTGATTCCTCCCAGACTCGAGCCGTTGTAAAGTCACTCGACGCCGATGCGCTCGCCGCAGCCGATCTAACATCCACGTTGTCTGCCAGCTCTGCTCTACAAATTGTTCGCCAATGGTTGGACGTCGATGGAGACTTAGGACTGAGCTTCACCCTCACGAATAAGGGCAATAGTAGCGTAGAAATCGGCAGCCTGGGCTTCCCGATTGAGTCCAACAGTATATTTACAAATCGCACCGCGGACGAAGTCACAGCGCAATGCTCCCTCGTGGACCCGTACATCGGGCTGGATGCCGGCTATCTACAATTCAGTCCAACTTCCGGACAGGGTCCAGCCTTGATTATCACTCCATTGGACAACACGAGCACCCCTTTCGAAGCCTGGCGCAACCTCGAGGAGGTATCTGACCAGTACACCGGGTACGGTAGCCAAACATTTGAAGGGTTCTATGAGTGGCAGACTCATTCAAAGGCATATGCTGAGAAGGAATGGGCCGAGGTGGCTCCCTGGAATGAACCAACCGCGCGCAGTCTCAAACCTGGCGAATCCACCACGGTAGGCCTTCGCTTCTCCGTGGTGAAGGATGGGGTGCGCGGAATTCAAAAAGCTGTCCAGGGGACAAACACTCCATTGACCATAGGAACAGGATATGTCGTTCCCCGCGATCTAACGGCACAGCTGTTCATCTTTCACTCGGCCAATGTCTCCAAGATCGTATCCGACAACAATGCCTTCGACATAGCACGCTCTTCATCCAACCTAGTTTCCCTTTCGCCCTCTGAATCAGCCTGGGGAAGGACCAAGATCACCATCTCCTACGCGGACGGAAAAATCCAGACAGTCCATTACTTCATCACGAACGCTGCCCCAGACGTGATCTCCAAGTTAGGTGACTTCTCAACCACTGCCATGTGGTTCGACGACGAGAAGGACCCCTTTGGTCGGGCACCCTCTGTGATCACGTATGACGCGGCTGCCAAAGCACAAGTGCTTCAAGAGGCGCGAGTTTGGATTGCTGGACTCATGGACGAAGGCGGCGCCATATTTCTTGCTTCCACGATGAAAGAGCACGGCCTTCCCAACGCGGAGGAGGTGGCAAAGCTAGAAGAATTTGCGTCCAAAGTGCTTTTTGGCACCATTCAAAACACCGATTTTACGGTTCGTAAGAGCGTCTTCTACTACGACCCAGACCAACTCCCGAGTTATGAATACAGCAGCAATATCGACTGGGGAAATTGGTGGTCTTGGAATAAGGAGGCTTCATACTCCACCGATCGTGCGTATGACTACATCCACGTTATTGGAGCATATTGGTCATTGTATCGCGTCGGCCGCGACAACCCGACGCTTCTCAAGGTGCACCCGTGGCAGTGGTACCTGGGCCAGGCTTACAATACGACCGTAACGTGTTTTGCGACAAATTCTGCCGGGGACGGCCTGGTGGGTTACTCGCGCCTGGGCCTAATGGGAGAAACTGTTGTCGGGGAGCTCCTGGCAGACCTGCAACGTGAAGGATGGACCCAAGAGGCAGATGCGGTAGAGGCCGCCATGAAACTTCGCGCGGAAGCGTGGGACTCGCAGTCGGAGCCCTTTGGAAGTGAAATGGCGTGGGATTGCACGGGTCAGGAGGGCGTTTATTACTGGAGCAAGTAAGTCACTCTTCTCTCTCTGCCTCTCTTGCGCAGGATTCCCTTGCGGTATCCTCTTGCCCGGAAGTTAACATTGGCGACGAGCAAAGTTATTTCAATCTCACGCAGACCACGACGAAAACCATCAATAGCATTCTGGGTTTGATGCCGACGGTGTCTCATTGGGGCTGGAATGGGAACGCCCGTCGCTACTGGGATTTCATGTAGGGCTCGGTTCCCCATGTGTCGTTCCACTACTAAGATCCTATAGCTATGCTGGGAAGCTTCAGCGGATTGAACGCATGATTCATCATTATGGTTCGAGCCTCAATGCATTGCCACTTCTCGCTGAGTTTCGACAAAACCCGACCGATACGTATCTCCTCCGGGTTGGGTATGGCGGAATCACTGGCCCGTTAAGCAATATCAGGGAGGACGGCTCGATGTACAACGCGTTCCACTCATTTCCCGATACTCTCAAGGGCGACGACTATTCCGGAGACTACGGTCCTAACTTCCTCGGAATGATGCTGGGCGCTGGTACATACATCGTCGATGACCCTGACGTCGGCATCGTAGCATACGGTGGCAATCTGTCTGTGCAGAGGGACACAGTGATTGTGCAACCGCGTGATGCCGTCCGGCGACGTGTATATGTTGCGTCAATGGGTGTCTACGTCACGATAAGTGCCGGCCAAATCGAGGAATTCTCATTTTCCGCCGCTCAACCAACCTCGCTGGAATTGAAGCTTGTCGGAGGGTTATCCAATACGACCACAGCGATTGTATGGGTTGAGAACCCTGGCTCAAACGACGCGTACGCAGTCACGACCAACGGGGAGCAGACAAGGGGAGGTGTGGCGGTTGAGCTATCGGGAGGCTCCGTGACCGTCACGGTGGCCAAACAGTAAAGAAGACTGGACGGCGAGATTCTGCTGTGTTGTAAGCCATATAAGGTGACGAAGGGTAGCTTTAGAGAACAATCACACTCGGTAGCCCCAGACTCTCCAATCTATTGCCGCGCCCATATATTGTGGTTTGTAGCTCTATACTCTCAGCATTGACCGTGCGATCACAACAATGCATTGGCGTAACGAGTGTGAGCTCTAAGGACAGCGCAACAACGATCGGGAGCTTCTCGCACGGAACGTCCCCGTGCCTCTCGGTCACGTTCCGTCCTGCCTGGGGCAACCACGGCAATGCACCGCCACTGCCACAAACAAAAGTCACGCGTCAACAAACAAGACATCAAAAGGACCACAATCTCATGGACAAGTATAGGCTTACACTCTTGGACATAGTTCTCCAAGATAAGACTCCCAAGGCAGTGCAATAGATGTGTTACGGCAAGTCCAAACATATGGGAGGGTCCTTCAATAGCCAAGTACTCAGATATATATCTTGCAGCACATGAACCACGTACTCTCTAGGGAAACTTCCTTTGCAGTGTCACGATAGCACATATGGATAATAGATCGAAAGACAACCATAGATATCCATCTATTTGATCTTCTTGAATGCTCTTTCCCATGTAACCCTCACTGCTGTCACTTTACTCATATCCCACCTACATCGATGAGAAATCTCTTCGGAATTTTATTGGTGGATCTGGGAAAACCCGAACCCCTGGAGATGGACATTGAGACTTGCAGTGGTTGTTTCATGGCTCGGTTAGTACCTGGTCCCGTCGGCTAATTTTGATCTTCTTCCCAGTCCTCCTTGGAGGCCATGGGTAGAAGCTGTATAAAGTTTGGACTAAGTACTGGTTAGCACGTCAGACCAAAGGCACGGCCTCTGGCGCCTGACAAACAATGCTTCAGCTGCTGATCAAGTTGGTGTGTTGGGCCACCGCTGTGGCAGCGCAGGCAGATAGCTCTTCACCGTTCTCATTTATTTCCAATGGCAATCCGATCTTGTCCAATGGGCCGTGGTATTCCGGCGATCCTGCCCCGTTGGTCATCAATGACACGCTGTATATTCTCACGGGACACGACAGCGCGCCTCCGGATGAGAATGCCTTCGTGATGAACCAATGGGGGATGTTCGTCTCATCATCCGCAAAGCCAGATGGGGGTGCGTGGACGTTGTATCCTGACGTCGCGGACCCTCGGGCAGTGTTTGCGTGGGCCGCTCCCGGCAGCGCGTATGCGGCGCAAGTTGTCCAAGGTCATGATAGCCGATTCTACATGTACGCTCCGGTGACCCAGGCCGATAGCACCAATGATGATGCATTTGCGATCGGCGTGGCCGTCTCGGACTCGCCAACAGGCCCTTTCCGGGATGCTCACCCCTCGGGCCCGATCATCTCCCAGTCGGTTCCACCACCTGGCAATACCATCCAGAATATCGATCCAACCGTACTTGTCGACGATGACGGACATGTGTACATCTACTTTGGAACTTTTGGGCAGCTTCTTGGTTACCAACTGGACCCGGATATGGTTACAGTGACATCGAATGTGACGCAAGTGACCAGCCTAACGGGTTACTTTGAGGCGCCCTGGTTGATGAAGAGGCAGGACGTGTACTACATGTTGTTTGCAGCGAACAATGCTGGGTCTGATTCACCCTGTACACCAACCTCGTATCATGCATGTATAGCCTACGGAACCGCGTCGTCTCCAATGGGCCCCTGGACGTTCCAGGACGTAATTCTCCCGATTGTATCCTCAACTACTTCTCACCCGGGAGCTGTCGAATGGAACGATGAATGGTATCTAGTGTACCACACGGCCGACGCCATTGGAGGAGGTCACTTTCGCCGTAGTGTTGCCTTTGATAAACTCACCTGGGATGATAGCAAAACCCCTGCCAAAATCAATGGTGTGCAACAGACATTCGCGCCCAAACCGCCAGTCCCGCCCACGTACAATGTGGCTCCCCAGGCGGTAGCAAGTTCGGTAAACCCAACGCCGATTCAATACTGGGTACAGGCCTTGAATGATGGAATCATTCGAGCGAACCCCTTACCACCAGACTATTGGAGCTCCTACGAGGCAGTAGACTCCCCCCAAACGAGCACGCTCGTTTATTCTTGGAATGAAACGGTCCAGCTTAATGGTACATCTATGGCGTTCTTCGCTGACCATGCTGCTGGAGCTAACGAAGGTGTTGCACCTCCCCAGGAATGGTACATCGAATACAAGGATGGTTCTGGGACATGGCAACGGGCGGCGAACACCTCATCGTATCCCCTGGAAGTGACCGATACGCCCAACGTGATAGCGTTTGAAACGGTGGATACTGTCGCAATCCGCGCAATCTTAGTCGCGTCCGGTGCTCAGGGACAATATGCCGGTGTTGGTGTGAAAGAGTGGGAGGCTTTGTCAACCACCCTGCACTCGTATTGAATTGAGGTGGTGGATTTTTGAACAGTAGTGTACATAGTCAGAAGCATACCCCGAAATCTTGACCAGCACTATGATTATCGGAGTCTGGCATGATGCCTTCTACCTTCTCATCCTTTACAGGGTAATGCCGTGCTTTACATCCATGTCGAGACTTGTGGAACAAAGCCGTTTTCGCTGCGCAAGGAGCGATCAATGATACCATCATCTCCTGGTTTTGTTAATTGTGTAAGAGCTTGATGTCAGGATAAGCTTTGTCATCAATGTGTCATATCCCTTAATAAATCCTTCGTAGGGATGTCATTTACGTCTGAAACTCTCATTGGTTGAGTAGCTCCTGTAAAGGCTGCTCGATGATAGTAGTTGCTGTGGAGAACCAGTATATACTCAGCCTAATCATACCATATCGATCAGGTACCTAAGTGCCTGTATCAAGAAGAATGAAAACAGGAAAACAAAAAAAAAATACTTAGACCAAAACAACCGGAAATTGTGGTCAGTCCATGAGTATTGAATACCCTCAGCCGCTGCTCCTCGTGTAAACATTACTACAATATCTGGCCCAATTCAGTGGAGCCTTTTGGTAATACATAGGAATACGGAGGAGATCGGATTACCTCCTCTCGGGATGTATGTTGGAAACTTGGGACGACCAGCCAATGTACGGAGTAAGGACAAATCGGTAGCGTACTATGCAGGAGGTGCTGCCATAGTTTCGTGGCAGCACACGCTTATACGGGCATCCCCCAATATACTAATACACTCCAAGTGGGCGGTGAGTCTAGAACTCGTCGCTTTTGGAGTCATAGTCAGTAATAGCATCGACATATTAGACCGTGTTTCATCTAGACATGCGTAACACCTTGTCGGTGGCGTTGGATATGCTGAGAGACCCCCTAGGCTCGTTCAATGAATCACGTCTTCTAGAATGCCTCTCTGGTCATACTTCAATGTGGATAGATTGATATCCACGTTAATAACCATAGCAGCGAGAACGGGAGAGTCTGCTCCAACAGGGAGATAACGGGGACGGGCCTGCGCTCCCATTGGAAGAGCGTATATTAAATGGTAGATTAAGCTTAAAAGACCAAGCCCAAGTCAGCTCTATTTCTTGTCAATTTATAAATCATCCCACAGCGGAAATTGCCTGGTTCCTGCGGGCTTTTAAGATGGTGGCTTGGTTGGGGCGGATGTGGACCAGCCCTAAATGGGACCTCACAGCAGCAACAAAAATTCTCCGACAAATATCCACGATCATCGCCAAACTTAACTCTCTGCGACCATGATCGCTGGCGATTTCCCGGCGAACATGTTTCTGCTATGGCAGAAACCCTCTGAATGATTCGCCCGCAAGAATTGATCGTGATAATCCGCCGCCAGGAGAAGAGATCGAGTCATGAAGGTGGCCAAATTTAATTTACTAGTGCTGGAGCTGCCGCGTCATGCATTTTCCCCTATCGGACAACCTTGGATTCCACCAATGAACCAGCAAAATATGTGCCAGAGAAATACCCATCTACTTGAAACCACCATATCAAACAGTGTGAGCCCCAATGCCGAACCGACATTTTACCGGTTGGCCGTGGTGGAGTTGTTTCACTGATGCTGACGATCACCTACCCAAACCAACGTAGACTCCGGAGGGATCGGCAAGGGCTTCACCATGTATACATTGTACAGTGCCTGGTCCATCCCGACGGTGATTCGTTCATTCATTCATTTCCCTGGCTGTGGAGGCTGTTCGGGATTAACCCTCTATTGTGTACGAATCTCCCCACCCACTGTGAGACTCCCTAACAAGACCGAATCGAAAACGGTGCTGAAGAAAATCAGGTATAAGAATGAGTTCTGCTGGTCTGAAAGACTTCTGGTTCTCCTTCTCAACGCACGCAATCTCACTTTTGTCATTCTTTGCTTTCCTTTGTCTCTGTTCTTGTCGCTCTTTCTTTAACACCATCTCAAACCCGAAGGAAAAACTTCCAGGATGAAGTACGCTGCTGTTCTCACGACCGTTGCCGCCCTCGCCTCCCAGGCCTTGGCCGCTGGTGTCTCGGGCACCGCGGAGGGCTTCGCATCTAGCGCTACCGGTGGTGGCAGTGCCACCGCCGTCTATCCCTCTACTACCGACGAGCTGGTCTCTTATCTCGGTGACGATGAGGCCCGTGTGATCGTTCTGAGCAAGACCTTTGACTTCACCAACACTGAGGGTACCACCACAGGCACTGGTTGCGCTCCCTGGGGTACTGGCTCCGCCTGCCAGGTGGCCATCAACAAGGATGACTGGTGCACCAACTACGAGTCCAGCGCTCCCTCCACCTCTGTGACCTAGTAAGTCTGCTACAAGCATGATACTGGGTGTTAGCGTCTCGCTAATACGCACTAGTGACAACGCCGGCTCTCTTGGTATCACTGTCAACTCGAACAAGTCCCTGGTCGGTGAGGGCACCAAGGGTGTGATCAAGGGCAAGGGTCTCCGTATCGTCAACGGTGTCGAGAACGTCATTATCCAGTACGTTGGCCGCCATGATGCTCATACTCGGATGAAGGGTAGATATTGACCGGTTCTAGGAATATTGCCGTCACCGATATCAATCCTAAGTACGTCTGGGGTGGTGACGCCATCACTATCAACCAGGCCGATCTTGTCTGGGTCGACCATGTGACCGTATGCTTTCCTGATATCATGATTTGTACGGATAGGAACAAAATAACTGATAGCTCTCTAGACTGCTCGCATTGGTCGCCAGCACTACGTCCTCGGAACCGAGGCTGACAACCGCGTCACCCTCTCCAACAACTACATTGATGGAGAGTCTGACTACTCGGCCACCTGCGACGGCCACCACTACTGGAACGTCTACCTGGACGGCTCCAGCGACAAGGTTACTATGAAGGGTAACTACTTCTACAAGACCAGTGGCCGTGCCCCCAAGGTTCAGGGCAACACCTACCTGCATGCTGTCAACAACTATTGGAACGACAACTCCAACCATGCCTTCGAGATCGGCTCTGGAGGCTACGTCCTTGCTGAGGGTAACACCTTCGCCGATGTCACCGCTGCCGTCGAGAGCTCCTCCCTTCAGGGTGAGCTGTTCTCCTCCTCCAGTGATGCCGCCACCTGCAGCTCCTACATCGGCCGCGCTTGCAAGGCCAACTCGTTCACCAACTCCGGTGACCTCTCCGGCTCCACTGTCGATGTTCTCTCCAAGTTTAAGGGTGAGACCGTTGCCACCGCTGACACCGCCAGCACGGCCCCTGCCTCCAACGCTGGCCAGGGCAACCTGTAAGTGGAAACATTTGCTGGTTTCCATATTCCTCAAGATAGTAGCCGCTTGAAGCTGTAGTGGCAGTGATCGTGTTACACAGCAAGGGTTATTTGTAATTTACTGTGTAGATTATTGTCTACCTTAGCTTAATTTATATTATTCCTCGGAAAGATTCATAGACACGCAGGGCTATTAGACCTTAAGTTTGACTGGGTAGTTGGATGCCTTAAATGAGGCAATTTCAGTCCCACATGAACATGGATCGAAAAGGAAATGGGAATATCGGTCACGTCGAATATTAGCAATCCCAATATTTAATTACGACCTGCGCTCAGTAATTGGATATATCGCATATTCGGTGTCATTTCCTTGGCCGGAAATAACATGCAAGTAGGCAAGGCCGTGTGTCCCTGTTCCATCTTTCATCAGGAATGCTGGCAAGCTCTTCATACATTGCTTTCACTGCGGGGTCTGGGATCCTCTTCTCTCCTGGACAAGTAAAGGCATTATAATCAAGAGGGCTTTTGGGGCAATACTCGGCAAATCCTGGAGTGAATTGACCAAAACAACATCCACAACACTAACCATTGAATGATTTTGTATGAGTTATAAACGCCTTTTCGGAAGACAAGTGCAAGACGCAAAGGATTGCGGCTGTGTGCCCTTCATCTATGTTGCCCGCCAGTGGAGTAGCTAAACTGTTGTAGTTTCTTTCCACCGGTCAATCAAGGGATGGGTATATTTCCCTCAGACTCGTCACTCTGCATGGGAAGACGACACGTAGCAAGGATTCAGCGTTTTGTTCCATGCTACGCAGTTAGGCCATAATACCGAGCATCCCAGGGGATCGAAAAGATGTAGCATCAGGGTAAATTGTGATTCTATCTGTTTAGAGTCAAAAGTGACTGTGGTAAGCATCCAGTCCAACATCAACAAGTGCTAATTGCTAGAACTCTCTTCATTCTCTTTATTCTTCTGACGATTGCGAGCCGCACTGCCCTCCAAGCCATAGAGAACGTCCGCCGACATATTTGGGATTATCATCTCAAATGTATCTCGAACAACGGTATACTGATAATACCCGCAACGAGCGATCGGTTGTGTTTTCTTAATATCCAGCAATCCATCCGTGAGTACTTCCTCAGCGATGTGAACCCCAATAACCTTTCCAATGACGATATCGACAGTTCCCATGGGTGGATTTCCCGGTAGTCGAATGGTCGTGTGGTACTCGCATTCGAACTTCACGGGCGACTCCTTGACCATCGGAACATCGACGAGTGTTGCCTGCTCCTTGGTGATATTGCACAGTTCAAATTCGTCGGTCCCATAGGGGGTCTGTTGGGCCGAGATATTAACCGCTTCACGCAGATCCCAGGTCGCCAGGTTCCAGACAAACTTCCCGGTTTCTTCAGCGTTCACCACTGTATCCTTCCGCACGCCAGTGGCGGTCTGGTTGGAAGAAAACATAACATACGGCGGATCAAACGTCAGGTTATTGAACTGTGAGTATGGCGCCAGATTGCATTGTCCACTTTTATTTTTGGTGGAAATCCACCCAATGGGACGAGGGATCACGCAGGCCTAGAGTAGAATCCAGGTCAGCCTTGATCACCTCAGTCGATCACCGACAGGTCAATCACTAGGTATTTTTTTTTACCTTGAAAGGGTCATGTGGGAGATTATGCTCGGTAACACCAGGTTCGTAAAACATATTTGTGTAGTGAAAAAAAAGGAAGAACATATAACCGTTGAGTGATCGATTCAGGGCAAGGACTGTGTTCTAGGCTGAGGACAACAAGCCACGGTATAGAGATACGATCATGAACGGTTTTTATAGGTGTTATCACACGAACATTCACGGATAAAGCGGCAAAGAAGAACCTCATACTAGTAGTTCCTCAAGTGCCGGCAGTTGCGATACATGGTGGAGTAAATACTGTATGAATGGATCGCCCTTGGGGCTTCGGGGCGATCGCCGAGCGTCCGAGATCCGAGCGTCCGAGTGCATTCGTCCAGCCACCACGCTTACGTTTCCTGATCATGACTCGTGAGTTTAGAGAAATAATAATGTGATATTCGCGATGACAGTATGCAAACAACTCCTGGTATATCGCAATAAATCTATGCCCAATCAAACCCCGAAAAGCAAGTTCTATGATACAAACCAAAGGTCTAGTCTATAACTCTATGCGAATCCCGGAAGACCCATCTTGTGAACATAATCCTCCATGAGCTTGTCCTCCTGGTCAATGAAGGGCTCGACAATGGTCAATCCCCGATCAACCTCCGCCTTCAGACGGTCCCACTCATCGGACTTGCCATCGGCAGTCTCCGGTCTGTGAACGGCAGTCCCGTTGGCATGTCCATTCTCCACACCCGTCGCGTGCCCGTTGGCTGCACTCGTGTCGAGCAGAGGAGTGTATCCCGCCGCTTCGAACGCATCCTTCGGAGGAACCGTGTACCGACCCTTCTTGAGCACATATTTACTGATCGACACCGCCAGCAGTCTCTTTTGCTGGACCTCGCTATTGTCCTGGCCCTTCTTCGACGATCCCTTGCCCGGCTTGAGGAAGTAGGTGATGATGTAGATCCACTTCTGGTCGAAACTGGCAACATGCGACTTCACCTCATACTTCATGTAGGCCGGAATCTCTCTCTTGAAGTTGGTGTAGACGCTACCAAGGATAAATCCCAGCGGACCCTTCTTTCCTTCCGCCTTCAGATTCTTCTCCAAGAGCGCGGCCCCTTTCACCACAATACTCGACATCAGAGCGGTTCGGGAGACATCGAGGTCGGAGAAATAGGTAGAGTTGGACTTGTGCATGTTGAAATCGAGTTCCATGATAGGCGCGCGGGAGAAGATGCTAACGGGTTTCAGGATCTCGGTCGACGGGCGCGGGGGTTGTTCGACAGCTGGGGTGATGAGGTAGCCATGTTTGAAGAAGTAGCGGTACACCCGGATCTAGCGCGTGGTCAGTGGACTCGGTTCAATTCCGACAACTGTTCGCAAAGAATGGGATACATACATGCCATACAATGGGTAGCGTCTTCAGGTTCAGCAAGGCGAAGAAGATAGCTGCGGCTTTCCAGAAGCCGACAGACAGCCAAAGGGAGGAAAGAAAGGATTGTACGGCCTCCATGAGGAACAACTTAAACTATCACAATATTAATAAAAACAAAATCCACACATATATATATATATATGAATAAAGAAGAAGCGCCGCAGGGAAAGGTAGCGCCGTCTATAAATTATATGCAATCTAGGTCTAGCTTCAAGGGTTCCAGAAAATGAAAAGAAAAAAAAAAAAAAAAAAAAAAAAAAAAAAAAAAAAAAAAAAAAAAAAAAAAAGAGTAATTGGCAGAACTGGAGAGGAAAAAAAAAAAAAAAAAAAAAAAAGGCACTGAATGGCATGGTCAGGCCTCGGCTTATCCTGGTGTGGGTCCCCCATCGAGCCAGTTAAAGCAGCCAAATCGACTCCATGCTCGATTTTCTAATCAGATTCCAGTCCCAACAACAGAAACAAACAAGCGATCTTGCATGACCTCCGGACCGTTGGGGCAAATTACAAGGGTATTGTTCCATTTAGTCCCTCACATAAAACATCGAGCCATACCCACTCCACTCATTCAGACTATGTAAATCTATGTCGATTCTGCTATGTATTTTGTATCGCAGAAGTGCCAACTACGGAGGATAAACAACGGGTCCAGAACTGAAGAAGCGAAGCTTAGATGATCGACGATCCTTATCCGGAATTCAGCATATTCTACGGAGTACCCTGGGTCGATGCTGTGCAAACCTCACCCACAACACCATAAAACACGCCGTAGGTTGTAATTTATATATGAGTAGTTAAGGAGACGAAGTTTAGTAGTCTGCCTGGGATATATACAATTAGTTTCTCGTACCTGACCCTTATTTTGGAATTTGTTGTGTTATTGGATAAAAGCGGGGAGAATATATATCAAGGCAGATAGGCCATTTGTCGACTAGTAAGTAACTTGATCGAATCAGTGATATAGAAGAGGTTAACTGTGCCTGTGCCCACCCCGACTGGGTGTGGACTCAGATTATTCCCAGTTATCCTACCAGGATACATAGTATATACGGAGTACAGTCTGTGGTAAGAACCTTGAAGTTGATTTTCTCCAGTGATGTCATGGCCAGTCAGCCATTCCGGCCAAGGCGGTGTGGCCTTATCAGACGAATACTGCCAGAGGAGAACCGGACCGCTTTGGGCACCGCCTGGATATCCATGCTATTTCACCCTCACGCTCGCCCCGGATGCCATGCTCCGTACTCCATGATTGGTTACGTATTGTGGCATCGAACGATGGAATTGACCCCGTCCTCACGCGTGGATCTCACCACTCAAGCTTGTGACATCTGTAGAAGGCGGAAAGTTAAGTGCCATCGGACGCAGGCACGATGTTCGAGATGCGAGAGACTGAATCTGGTTTGCACATTTCTTTCTCCTTCCAAAGTACGAGGTCCAAAGAAACGGTATGATTGGCTGGTGCACTCTCACATGCCTGGAAGCCGCTCTGTACTCGCCATCTGGACCCATTGATTTGATATAACTAACATGCTTGTAAGGCTACGGACAGAGTCAGTGTCGCGGTCACTTTCCTCCGAAGGCATCTCAGTCCCTAACAATGGGAGGAGTCTCTCGCAGCATACCAAATATCCTACCGATGATCTTTGGGAACGAACTTGCTTCAAGCTGATTATGGAGGATTATATAGACCACCTGTATCCCCTGCTTCCCATCGTACACCGCCCGTCTTTTCGTCGGGCTCTTCGGGAAGACCGAGATTGCGAGGACTCTGGCTTCCTCGGCCTGGTTCTCGCCATCGCGGCCGTGGTTGTGGCTACCCTACCCAGTCGATTTCAACAGTATCGCTCGCTGAGCCCTCCCCTGCAGTTTCAGTCTCGACGCGATATGGTTAGTTACTGCGCCGACCGTATCATGAGGTTGCGGACTGCCACCTACTTCGATGAAATCAACTTTCAGAAATATGCTATCTCATATCTGCTCTATGCAGCATTCTTGCAGCTGGGGGATCATAATCGATCACGGATGCTGGATGTAGAAGCAATGCAGATTGCCCGCCTCTTAAACCTTCACTGCATCTCCCAATATAATGGCCTTAATTGCATCGAGACTCAACTGAGAAAGAAGGGGTTCTGGCTGATATTTTATAGTTTGGTGTAGGTATCTCGTCACTCCGGTGTCCAGGAGTCACCAGCTGATTTCGATCTAGTCATGCTCGACTTCAGAACATGCTTGGAGAACGACTATCGTACCTGGACCCTGCCTTGTTACAGACCATCAACCCAGAGGACATGATGCCGTTGGAAGTGGATGACGAATTTATTCTGGAGAATGATGTCCTGGTCTCAGGGTCTCAAACCCCATGCCTGGTAACGGGCTTCATTATTCATTCGCGGGTTTTCTGGGCTGCCGTAAGAGACCCGTTGCCTGGACACTCAGCAGAGGAACCATGCCCGTGCATTCGCGCTCGGGACCCTCAAATTCACATTTCCTATTTAGAAAACCGCCTACAAAGTTTGAAGTACCTTCTTCATGATATCCCTGCTATCCTCCGGCCATGGGGCCCACCAAATGAGGATCATTTGAACGATGGTCGTACGGATGCGATCTTGCGATCGAACTTTGCAACCATGCGGGCTAATATCCATGTCACCCACCTATGGCTCCAAAGCCTCCTTATTGACCAACTGGAGGCGGCACAGACTGGTCAGACGGGATCACTGCCGGAATCCTGCGCTGGGCATTCACCATACAAGATGGGCCCGAAAGCCCTGTGGTTAGAGAGAGAGGAACTGTGCCGACAACTCTTCTTTGTTCTCCACACACTTCCACAAGCTAGCTTGGAAGCCAATGGTCTTCATCTCGCATACAAAGTGCGGGATATAGCAGCAAGTATCATGACATGCCCATTCCACCCACAGGCACCGGAGGCAAAGCGAGCGGCCGAGTATGTTCAAGACGCCACTAGTTGGCTCTCTCGCCTAGACCGCAGTGAGAGTATTAATGCGCTGCATCTACAATCCTGGGTGGACACAGACCGCGTCCGAAGCGAGCCTAGCATCCCATGAGCACTTAAAGCGAAGATCTCTCATTTAGACTCCATAAACTCGTTATCACGTGTTGCAGACAATGGCATCAATTCCCCGACCAGAAGATCGTCTCACCGAGCTCTACCGAGCTTTCCAAGAAGGTACCCCGACTACTGGTGCCTACCATGATTCGATAGGACCCCTGATAACTACACCAACTACTACTTGTTTCATCCCAGAAGCTCGTCGCGCGGACCAAATCCACCGGGATAGTGATCACCGCTTGAGCAGATCCTTCCAGCCATACTTTGCGAAACTCTTTCAATTCTTTGAGGGGTCGTTTGATTGGGGGTGAGACCGGCGCCACGTAAAGCTGAATCACCTCAGCCCCAGCCCTCTGGCCTGTGTTCCGTACTGTGCATTTCACTTTCATATCATGGCTGCACTCCTTTGTGAGCTCCAAGCCAGATAGTTCAAACGTAGTATAGGAGAGACCGTGGCCGAACGGAAACAGCGGGTCCACGTCAGCCTCGTCGTAGAATCTGTAGCCAACATACACGTCCTCCCCGTACAGAACCCTTCCGCCTTCCGAACGGTAGTTGAAGTATGTTGGATTGTCCTTGAGGCGACGAGGAAAGGTAAGAGGAAGTTTTCCGGACTAAAGCGACGAAAGTTAAGCGTGCACCTCACCTCACCTCCAGCATATGGAATTTGTACTTACTGGGTTCACATCGCCGAAAATGACGTCGGCGATAGCATTTCCTGTTTCGTTTCCTCCATACCACGCATGCACTAATGCTTTAGCTTGGTGAATCCAGGGCATCTCGACCGGCGTTCCACTCTGCAGCACGATGACTGTGTTTGGGTTGGCGGCCAGAACCCGTTCGATTAATTGATCTGTATGAGGGGGTAGACTCATGGTCGTTCGATCTTCACCTTCTGACTCCCATTCTGCACTCAGTCCGGCCGTCAAAATAACCTGATCCACGCGGGCAGCTAGCTTGACGGCTTCCTCAATCCCTTCGGCTGGCGGAAGCCTCTTGCAGGCGCCGAATCTGAACCCTCCGTGTCCGAAATCAACAACGCCTGGCACCTTGAACTTGCCCGTTTTGGCACATCCCCATTGCACCTGGATTCTATACTCCCTTCCGGCCTCCAGATGAAGAGACCCTCTTTCTTCGACGGTGCCGCAACCCAAAAAGCTTGAGCCAGGCGTCTGTACGTCGGCATTATTGATGAGTAGGTGCCCATCCACATAAAGCTTTCCCGTGCCGTGGACACACAACCCGAAGTCGTAAAGTCCTGACTCGTCTGGGGTGAAATATCCTTCTGCGTCCGCATACCAAGTTGATTGCAGATGAGGATGGCTGTAGTCGAGGAAGAAGACCATGGCATCTGTTTCATGACGTTCTTCTATAGGCACTCTGGTTGTTGCGGTAGGTGGCTCGTTGAAGATTCTCAGGATAAAGCCCGCGTGGCCATCTGGGTTGCGGAGACGCTTGCCTAGTAACGGAAGGTTCTGATGGCCGTATACCCCCTGGGCAAAGTCCACGCCCTCCAATGCGGCATTGGTGATGCCTTCGAATGGTGTAACGGCAGCGTAAGGATTCAGCGCCGCACTGCCGCCGCCACAGTACGTTGCTACCTGAGCATTTGGACCGATGACTGCAACTCGTCTCCGCTTGTCTAGTGGGAGAATGCCCTCCTCGTTCTTCATAAGCACGATGGCCTCTGAGGCAACCTTTCTTAACAGGTGCTTGTCCTCCTCCCGATCCAAAAGACCCTCTGGGGCCCGTTCAGGAATTCCCGATCGACTGGCCTTCTGCACCAATTTCAGGACAGCCCGAACGCGCGCGTTGACGGTGGCCATGGATACCTTATTGGCTGTAATGGCATGTGTGAGAGCACTGCCGCGCCAACGCGTTGGACCGGGCATCTCCAAATCGAGACCTGCTTGAATAGATTCCGTCGTGCTATACGTTCCGAACCTAGTCGTAGAACGATATATGGTCAGGAACAGAGCATAAACATGCATGATGACAATTCTTCTTGTTCTTACCAGTCACTCATCAACAAGCCATCCCAGCCCCATTCTCCCCGGAGAATATCCTGAAGAAGCCGGGGGCTTTCTGCAGCATGGATACCATTCACCTTGTTATATGCCGTCATAATAGCATCAGGCTCCCCTATAGCAATGGCAGTCATGAATGGGACTAGATATATCTCCCTAAGTGCACGGTCGGTGACGAGTGAGTTTACTGCCATGCGCTCATGCTCCTGATCATTGCACACGAAATGCTTCAGGGTCGCAATGACGTTTCTCTCCTTCAAGCCTTTACAGTAATTGCCGGCTATGATACCCGAAAGGAGCGGATCTTCTGAAAACGACTCAAAGCCCCTTCCACCCAGTGGGCCACGCGGGATGTTGATAGTTGGACCCAGGACCACATGGGCACCTTTGGCCTTCGCTTCTGCTGCCAGCAGATGGCCAATCTTCACGGCTAGGTCGCGATCAAACGTCGCACCAATGGCTGTTCCACAAGGAAGGCATGCGGATGGTACGCTGCCAAAAAACTTTGTTCCTCGTAAACCGTTCGGACCGTCTGAGAGCCGGATCGATGGAACCCCTAATCGTGGAATAGGGACTGTGTGCCAGAAATCCTCACCTAGTAAGAAATTCACAATGGGGCGTGAGCTTTGTGCTAGCCTAGACGCCTGCGATCACGCATTGGCGAGGACGACATACCGGTCAGAAGCGCAATCTTCTCGTCTTGAGTTAACTGCTGTAGTATCTGTTCAATATCTGCTGTCGCAATGCAGTGGAAACCGCAGGCAGTTCCATCGGGGATAGACTCGATGCATGGCATAGTGTCCGTCGCTTTTCCTGTGCCTGTACGAAGCGGCTAGGACAATGGAAGAAATGTCGATGGGTAGTCAAGTACTGCCATTCTGCGTGGTTGATCTGGCCCCTTTTGTATGTGCATGAGACGCAAGACTGCGCTACTTTTCATGATCTTAGTTATGGTTGAATGGCGGAGCTCTGCCGAAGTACATCACTGAAGTATTTCTCCGTCGGCGTGAGAAGAGATGGAGACTTTGCTCCACACCGGACCGGGCCCCTTGACTCTCATTGCCCGGGATGGCGACCTTCTTCCCGATATCCTCTTTCCCCTTTTCTCCGTTTCTCCGTTTCTCTTCTCTCTCGCCGCATGGAGCGAGATCCACTGGTGTCTCCCGGATTTCCCCAAGTTTTCTCCACAGGTTCGCCTCTTGGTGTTGGATATGACCAGTCCCATGCAACCAGAAAACGTGTATGGCGTTTTCTGGCGTACAATAATTGGTCCCCGCCCAAAATTCTCCTTGCCTGCCGTCCGGCATAACAAGGGTTAGTTGCCAATTCTATGGCGGGCTAATGCCTCAAAACTTTACCCATCAGGAATTTCGAACTCCCAGTCGCACTCCCACCCCAGCTCGGGTTCGGAGATATAATTCACGTCCTCCCCTCGTCTTTCTTGGTCTCTTTGATTCCTGTGATCTTTTCATACACATTTACGCTTAGATTGGGGGATACCATGGGGACTACTAAAGCCGACAATACAAACAAGCCCGCCGGGGAGGAAGAGCTCGCAGCTGTCCTTCCCGCAGACAGGCCAGCCTGGTACAAAGAAAGTCATCTTCTTCGCCTGAACTTGATTATACTCTCTTTGGTTATGTTCTCCTCTGCGAACGGCTACGATGGATCTCTGATGAACGGGCTTCAAGCCCTTGACCAGTGGAATAGTTTTCTGGACTATCCTACTGGTGTACGTCTTGGATGGCTGAATGCCATATACTGGCTGGGGGGTGGTGTTGGCTACCCAGCTGCGGCGTGGTTGGCAAATCAGTATGGACGCAAGCCAGGGGTCTATGTCGGCTATCTTTTCTTAGCTCTTGGTTGTGCACTTCAGACAGCAGCTCCAAATGAGACTTCATTCTTGCTGGCGCGACTGTTTGTTGGCGTGGCGTCCGGATTATTTGGCAACTCAGTACCGCTACTTATCAACGAGATCGCATACCCTAGTCACCGTGGCGTGTTAATCTCGCTCTTCATGTCTGGATGGTACGTAGGGGGAACCGTGTCAGGGTGGGTGATCTTCGCATCACGGACCTACCCATCCTCATGGTCCTGGCGACTACCATCGCTTCTTCAAGCCCTTGTACCACTCATTGCGTTGCCGGGGTTTCTACTGGCTCCAGAAAGCCCTCGTTGGTTGGTTTCGGTTGGCCGTCATCAGGAGGCGCGCACAATCCTTGCACGTCACCATGCGGGGGGAGACACAAACTCACCGCTGGTAAACTATGAGATCTCGACCATTAGCGCTACCATTGCAGCTGAGCAGGAGACACAGAGCAGTGCTAGCTACATAGAGATGCTCAAAACACCTGGCAACAGACGTCGGCTATTCATCTCTATCAGCTTGGGCATCTTCGCGCAATGGGCGGGTAATGGCGTGGTCTCTTATTATTTGGCACTCATTCTGGACACGGTGGGAGTGACCAATGTGAAGGATCAGACGCTTATCTCCGCCTGTATGCAGATGTGGAATTTGATATTCGCTGTCCTTGGCGCATTCCTCATTGACCGATTTGGTCGTCGTCCTCTGTTCCTGGCATCCGCCGTGGTTATGTTCGTGAGCTACGTCCTGGTCACGGCACTGTCGGGATCCTTCTCAGCTACTCACCATGTAGCCACCGGAGCGGCTGTTATCCCGTTTCTCTTTATCTTCTTTGCAGGCTATGGACTTTGTCTGTAAGTTTTCCACCCTCCAAGCTGCTACCGCATGCCTCGCGGGCTAAATTCATGCTAACCATTGCAATTTCTCATAGAACCCCTTTGTTAACCGCCTATCCGTGCGAAATATGGCCTTTCCGCCTCCGATCTCGTGGCCTCACTGTGGCCTGGGTAGCCTCTATCTGTGCAATCTTCTTCAATACATTTGTGAACCCCATTGCCCTGGACGCTATTGAATGGAAGTACTACATCGTGTTCATCGTAGTACTGCTAATCTTCGGGGTGACAGCATACTTTTTCTATCCGGAAACTAAAGGCTACACGCTTGAACAGATTGCTGTGATTTTCGATGGTCCCACTTCTCAAGGGGAGAGCGATGCCGAGTGTGCAGTGAAGTATGCGGATGTATTCGATGATGTGAAGTCGCTCTCCTCAGCCACCCACCAAGAATCTATATGAAGAACCAGCAAGAGATGGCGACCTCCTGCACTGTATATCTGCACTGAGCTCAGCATATTATTTTGAGCTCATGCCATAGCGCACCAGTTACACTCAAGAAATACATCCATTTTTAAGAACTATTCTCTCCTCCCAGCGCCCAGCGGCCCACTAGGTATACGGTGTACGCGTTACGCAAATTACACACGCTTGAAATGATGTTCAACTAGCTCCTCAGCCAGAGGCATATCTGGACGTCGCCCGCAACCTGGCACCAAAAAGCCAAAACAACCAAGGAGCTGGAAGCCCGATCGCAATGCTGATAAAGGCCAGGACACTGGTGCCCCATCCGTAGCCTAGATCTCTGTACATATACGGAGCAAAGAGTGGAAACCCAAACCCAGCCAAGCTCCTGAGGAGCGCACATGCAGCCATGGCACTGGCCGCGTAAGTTGTGTAGCTATCAACGACATAAGTTTGCATTCCTTGCAAGCATCCCATCGTACCGGCGGAGAAGATGGCGACGCCAATATTAGGCATCATCCAGTGCATGTGGCTCTGTACACTCCAGCCGTACCAAAAGAGGCCGATGGTGATCATCCCGGAGCCGATGAACATGGTCGGCATGCGAAACTCGGGTACTCCACGACCGGAATTCTGTGCTTTGAGTCTGTGGTAGATGCGATCGATGAGCATGATGTTGAGAAAGAGGCCGATGGATGACCCAACAGCGATGGAAAGATAATTGAGGCCAGCAATGCCTGGACTTTCACCGTACTGACTACCCCATACCGTCGGGAATGTGGCCAGCAAGAGGTATGTCGTCCCGAAGAGGTAGCCCATGTACAGCGCGACTACCATCACAATCGGCTGAGTCGTGAACAGGCGGACCGGTCGCACCAGGGCCCTACCGAGTGTGCTGGACAGATTGGTGGCGTCTATTCCAGTATGTAGCTTGTGGTTCCCTGATTGTTGGACAAGGCGATTTCTCTTCCGGTTCAGAAGAGTAGCAGGATGCGACTCATGTAGCCAGATCAAACCAACCAACTGGATGGCAACCGCGACAGCGCTAGATGACCAGAACACCCAACGCCAGGTCGTATACTCCGCAACGAATCCTCCGGCAATGGGACCGACCACCGGGCCAAGGATCGGGGCGAGTGTATAGATTCCCATTGCCTTTCCTCGCTCCTCTGGGGTCCAGATATCCCTACCGACCGGCTGGTTAGTTGATATCGGGATAAGGGTACATCTCCTCTCCAACTCACCCAATAGCCGCGCCTCCAAGTGCAACTGGAGCACTCCCACCAATGCCGGCAAGAAAGCGAAATACAAAAAATTGCGCCGGGGTTTGCGCAAAGCCACAGCCGAGATTCCATGCCAAGTACCACAGGTTGCTAATTTGTAGGAGACGCACGCGGCCGTAGACCTCAGAAGCCGGGCCACAGAACAGTGGGCCGATCGCATAGGCCAGGATGAAGATCGACAAAGCTAACTCGACTTCGATATCGCTCTGCATGTTAAGGTCGGCACCCAACTGCGCCAATGCGGGAGCAACCATGGAGGAGGAAACGGGGGAGATAAAAGTGAAGATGGAGACGGCAACAGTATTTCGCCATTTATCCTTTTGTGGCCAGTTCTTTGGATTTTCCACATCGTGGGCCCCATCCCATGTAACAATGTCTGGATCAAATTGCTTGGTTGGGTTGTTCGACTTGGACCTGGAGGCTTCTAGGTCTTGTGGGTTCGAGTATTGGGTGGTCATCTTGCCCTATGTGGTGCTTAGATATCGAGTTTGCAATTCACTTGTCAATTCTCTGCTTAATCTGGAACGAACGATGACCGATTTATACTCTCTGGAGAGGGTCCTATTACTACGACCTGGGTAACGCCTACTAGAAGTACTAGATAGGGCTTCACGGAAGGTCAAGGAACGCCAGCCAATGGGAGGCTTGGATTAGTGTCGGGGCCGAAGCGGAGGGTCGACACTCCGGCCCGTAGTCCGAGCCAGTTGAATACTGATTCCGTCTACTCTTAACACCTTCTTCGTGCTGACGTGGCGAGACAATTCGCTTGACAGTACTCCGTATACGAGATTATTTGCTCCTTCAGACCACAAGACAGGGCATCGCGGCTGGTTGAGTACAGCAACAGACCCACCAAGAATCGCTATGAGTACACGCCCTGTGGCAATCGCGCCTGCGACAAGGAAGCCCGCGTCCGATAGCAATGAGGGTATTTTGACGCACTCCACTACGATGTCTTACAACTGTCAGCATTGCGTACGCAGGAAAATTAAATGCGACAGGGCCATGCCATCCTGCTCGAGTTGTCAAAAAGCCAAGCTTGAGTGCGCTTATAAGGCACCAAAACCACCACGGAAGCGGAAACGGAGGGAAAGTGAGGATGTGCAACAGCGCTTAGCAAGATACGAGCGCATTCTACAACAGAATGGTCTTCTCTCGACAACTGAGACACGATCGCCCTCTTACCGAGGAACTCCGGGGAGCGTCCATGAGGAAGGCCGTCCCCGCACAGCTCAAAGCGATGCAGAAAGGACTGGACGATTAGTTTCCGAGGATGGAAAATTACGGTACATCGACAGCCGAGTGTGGCTTGATGTGGCAGAAGTAAGTATGCAAGAGTTGTCCGACAATGGGGTGGACGACCAGGCTGCTCCCGTGGCCATGGACTTGCCGATAGATGATCCGCTTTCTGGGTCCCTGCTAGGGGTATCAAACAGCCTCGCAGGCTATCATCCTCCCTATCCAGACGCCATGAAGCTTTGGAAAATCTATGTCCAAAATGTCGATCCTCTCTGCAAGGTCCTGCACATACCCACAACCACAGAATTGATTGAAATAGTATCACAACAATCGACTGGAGCCACGCAAGCTCAAGAGTGTCTTGTATTTGCTGTCTACAATTTCGCAGTATATTCACTCGCCGATGAGGACTGTATCCGTGAATTTGGGAAACCAAGGGCTGCCTTGATGTCAAAGTATCAGTATGCCACACGGCAAGGGTTAATCAATGCGTCTTGGCTGAAAACAACCGATTTGCAAGTATTACAGGCCTACGTACTTTTCCTAATCGCAACGCGGACTCAGACCGATCCACATACGTTCTGGATCTGGACTGGTGTTGCGGTCCGTATCGCGCAGCGTATGGGACTGCACCGTGACGGGGGGAGCCTAGATCTATCTCCATTTGACATGGAAATGCGAAGACGCCTTTTCTGGCAGCTCATCCCCCTTGATGGCTACGCTGGCCAAGTGTCAGGCACTGGTATTTCCATCACACCGAGTGACTGGGATACGAAGCGGCCACTCAACGTGAATGATGAACAGATACATCCCGGGATGAAGCAGCCGCCAAATACACAGACCGGTGCCTCTGAGATGCTATTCTGTCTCACGAAAGCAGAGCTCTCTGAATTCTATGCCCGCACAGCAGTAAAGATGAACTCGATCAGTCCCAAGGGCCAAGTGCGAGATAACACAGAGATCGAGAGGCTAATAGACAACCTCGAAAGTGACATAGAGATGAAGTATCTGAGGCACTGCGATATCATAAATCCAGTACATATCCTGACACTTGGCATCGTCAGATCTGCCGCGAACATGGTACGCCTGCGCAGTCGGATGTCTTCCCTAATGAGTCAAAGTGTTAAGGGCGTGCAACGATGGGGGCTCTGCGTCCTCGCGGAGAAGATCCTTGACACCGACTGCGCTTTATATGCTAATTCAGATCTACGAAGGTTTCAGTGGCACATCAAGACATTCTTTGTCTGGGACGCTTTGATATGCCTTTTGAATTGCCTAGCTACGGACGGCTTCTTTGCGAACACAGAGCTAGACCGAAAATGGGAGAAGATTATCCTTGTCTACTCAAACCACCCGGAGATATTTAAGAGCAAGTGGGCACTCCATGCTGTAGTTCGCAAGATGACTCACAAGGCGTGGATGGTGAATCCACCAAGCAACTCCATGGCTGAGCCGGCGTTCATCAGCACGTTGCGATCTCGATACGAGACTGGGGACTATGGATGTGCAAAAACACCAGACAATATGATACAGCATGATGAGACCGCGGAAGATGCGTATTTTCTTGATACCCTTCTTCAAAGCCCTGGGGGGACTGACTTGTACTTCGACGGTAGTTTTAACTATGGGGCCGCCGATTGGATGTTGTGGGATCCAGTATAGTTAGTTGGATTCCAGTTGAGCACAATGGAGTACAAATAGGTTGTTGTAGGTGCTCAGGCTAATGCTCCCTCACCGAAGCCGTGCGTTAAGCTACCTCTGTTTGCTCGGATGAAAGAAGCTTTGTGGGGGACCAAGGTAACTCTCGCGTACACCACCGAGATCCACCACAATTTTCTCCAAGACGCAATTTTCATTATGAAGCCGGATACGGAGTGTGTGCAGGCCAGGGACGCCAAGGTCTATCGAATGACCGCGAGTCCAGATGTTGTCCATGACGGAGTCGTGCCACCCATCAGGGAGTTTGCCAGGCTTTTCTACCCGGGCCACCAGCCGGTACGAAGCTAGGACACCATCGTCAAGCTGAACGTTGTATGTGATGGGGGAGGTGGTATCAGTGTCCAAAGTAAGTGTGAACTCGAGGATCAGTGTCGCAGTGGCCGTTGGTGTGAATGTGATAAACGGGTATTGGAGATATTCTGAATGCGATGCTGGAGTGCCGACAGCCAGAGCAACGCCACCGGTCGGCGTGCGACCTATGAACGGAAGGATACGATATGACGATAAGAGCGAATTTATGAACGACGTGGCATATATGGAGACATGCTCATCTGCTTCGACAAATCCAGTGACATCCGCAGCGAGCGATCGGCTTTTTACTGGGATGTGAATCTGCTCGAAATCGCCGAGCGAAGAACGTAAGTCGACAAGCAACGTGTCGTCAAAATGAGTCGGTACTTGTTCCCAGTCTACGGATACTGTCACAAGTTCGTCTCCGCCTTTTGGCTGGATAGTTCCCGAGGATGGCGAGAGCGTAAGCCAGTGGTGTGGTGATGTGAGAGTCCAGGATACGGATTTGCTGCTTCGACAATAAATCTCGAAGTAGCGAGACTTGGGACCATAAGGCTCCATAGGTGGCAGCGTCACTCCAGCGATATGATCGCGACGGCTAGGATGAGTACGATCGGATTCTTCATTCGTGAGTCCCGGTCGAACACCGGGGTGCCCATCGACAGCGATTCCAATCCAGCCAACGATGGGGTTCGAGTCTTGTCGGTTTTGTACGAACGAGAGGCCGTTTATCATGTCGCGGGACGGAGCGTGCCATGATCGTGTATAGCCATAGTGCGGCTGGCGCATAATATGATTCCATTTCCCGTTGAGAAGAGAATGATATTCCTCGCTAAGATTAAAATCCTCGTCAAAGAGGCGGAGTGCCTCATAGGCCCACGAATTCGCTGTGTTGCGTCGTTGGATGGCGTAAAGTTGATTCTTCGCTTGCGCAACCCTGAGTGCGACATAAATATAACTGGCCTTAATCGGATGGAGGATGAGCTGAAAGTACGCCGGCATCATGGGCGCGGGAATCGATCTCTCGACTTCTTCCGCTTGGCCCAAGAGCTCTTGCCAACGATGCAGAATATTCCCAGCTTCCTCATAATTGATGAGAGAGAAGGTATCTGGTTCGATATGCTCATGCTTCCGAAGGGCGACTAACCGGTCATACTTTAACAGCAATTCCGAGCACTGTTGCGCCACGGCCGACCCCAGATGAAAATTGCCTTTCGCAAAGGTATAGAAAAAGTCCTGCAGTTGATGCATTCCGAAGCTTGTCACATCCCAGGCAAGGGTGAGAACGAAGGTTAAAGGAACCTCCATCGGCTTCAGATCTCCCACGTTAAAGATCCAGATATCCTTGGCTCCTCGATTGTACGTTTGTTCCAGCTGCTGCCAAATCTTCCCACACGAGTTGCTATTGAGCCACTTGTAGCTTCTCGGAACTCCGACGTATTCCAGATGGTAATAGATCTATATGTATTAGTGAGACTCGTGTCAAGCTGCGGAACTACAGAACCTACACCTGCTCCCCCACGCCTTGTCGATTCCGCACCGGATGGTAACCTGCGGACAGTGCCAAAGTTGTCATCAGCAAACAGGAGTGTAATGTCCTCTGGGATGGGAAGCCCGTTGTCGTAGTACTCTTGGACTTCCTTGTACAGTGCCATTAACTCTACGCAAAGGTCAGGATAATATGTCGGTCTGTGCAAGGACGCTGAGACTTACGATGCACGCCATCTTCCTCTCCGTAGGTATTCTTGATAATAGATCGTTGGGTGGAAAGAACGTCCTTGAGCACAGCGGGTGGGTCCTCAGCATCCATTGCTTTATCACCATGGCCTCGCATGCCCATGGTGAGATAGCTCTCATACTTCCTGGCTCGCTCAGCACCTTCCTGGAAATACTTGGTGATCGTCGGTTTGTTTTTGATCCATGACCAGCTTTTTTCCGGTTCATAATAGGGACGGTCGAACCATTCATTCATCGCCCTCTGCATTGGCTCATGGTGCGAGGTGGATACCACAATACCATATGTATCAGCCGTCTCTTGATTTAGGGGATCGTCTATGAAAAAGCTGCTTCCTGGATGAGGAAAGCCGAACCACATCGCAGGCCACAGGAAGTTCGCCTAGACACGGTCAGAAAGCAGGAATATGCTCGGACATGATCGTCGCTTCATACCTTCAGCCGAAGGAGGAGTTCAAAGACTCTCTTGTAAAACTCGACATTGAACTTGGGTCCGAATTTCTCGTGCACCCAGCCAGACAAGGATGGAGCTTCATCGTTGAGGAAGATTCCCCTATACTTCACACTCGGCGGCCCATGTTTGGTGCCCACATTTAAGGCGTAAATCTCCCTGCTTTGCTTCGGGGGTACATCGGCCCACCAATACCATCTCGCAGGATTAGTTTCGTCTTCACGAGGGAAGCACGTCAACTTACGGAGAAACTCCGATCTGCTCGGATAGCGTATACAAGCCGTAGATCACACCTCTTTTGTCGCTCCCAGCAATGACAAGGGCCTTGGTCGCTCCCTGAATAGCGTCGTGAAGGATTGTTGTCATGTAACATTCCCATTGCCCGTCAATCGCGGCTACGTCAAGCTTGCCTTCTTGAATCAAGTTCTGGATGGTGGGCGACCGAGCGAGACTGCCCACCACAATAGCGACCTCTACAGCGGAGTCTTGGCTCAGATTCGAAACGATCGGAGAAGCACCTTGGCCTGTAACCCGCGCAAAGTCTTCCGCCAGGGCTTCGGCGGCGATGTGAATACCCGCGAAGTCTTCCGGGTCAACCACGATGGACGCATTGCTAATATCGATGCATCCCGCGGAGGGAGCATGACTTGCAAACGCAGGTTCGTACATTTTTTCTCTCTGTGGGTGGAGACGGGCGGGTGTTTTTATCCTACTGGCGCTTAGGGTATATACTTCCAGCATCAGTGCCGTCGAGTGAGTGGGAGGGCTGGTCTTGATAAATGTGCCGGGGGAACCACAGGCTTATGGAGCAATGCAGGATGACCATGCAGGATCCCCCCAGCATGGTGAGGCTTCCAATTAGAGATTGAAACAGCTACTGATGATCCCCTCGGGTCAATCTAGTCCGAACACACTTCTTGATAGACATCTCCCCTAGTCCTTGTATGTTCTGTTGACATTGGAAGCTGGGCGTGTATCGAACGGCCTGAGTGATCATCGAGCAGCTGCGGTGCAGGATAAGAGGAATCCTGAATGGCCTTCGTTGTCATTGACTAATTTTAGGTACATACATACGGTTGGCGAAAGTTGCCTGCAACCTCGTGCGTATGCCTTGGCTGTGAACCGTGGAATTAGTCTGAGGCTCGGCATTACAATCAGCCGACGGTCGCATCCGCATGATCTCGGTCAGCTTGGCTATTGCCACTGCCTTGGTCGGCTAAGGTCCACGGCCACTTTCCCTTCTTCTACATACAACGGACATTCCCGATCGACCATCCAAATCAATATCTTTCAAGTTCTTGAAGATTTAATTTACTACCTCTTGGAATGTCTCACCGCCGTATGGTACATGTTAACAACACCAGTCCTACTTGCCAAATCAACACCAACTCCAAGCGTTGTTCACCTCCTCCAGAAAAGTCCTTGCGCGACGTGGTCCTGCAGAGCTTCTGCTTCGGGCTTTACTAGTACTTGGTTACATCCAGAGAACCGCAGGTCTATATGGTCATCAATTATCTAGTGTCCTATCTATTTCAATTGTCTTCCATGTATTCTTTACACAAACCAAAGAATGGCGTTGCAGAGATTAGAAATGTCCTGATGGCTGTTTCCCTGCTACATATATTTTGCCCTGGAATATGCCCTGAAAAAGTGTAAAAAGCCTAATGCAACATCAACCTGCAGAATTCCATCAATGGAGCCAAGTGACTACCAATCGACAACTTCGTTTGCACGGCCAGCCACAAGGCTCAGGAGGTGTGATGTGGATTCGCCCGACAGCATCAAGCGCAATATCTCCAGGGATCTTCAGGTCTGGGTCATAGTCCGACATATGATAAAGCCGGCACATGGATTCAACGGTAAGGAGGCAAGCAATGCAAGAGCTTGTTTGCATCGCATTACCTCGTTGCCATCATTGGCATAAGGGGATATGTGTCTGGAAGCTCTATCAGGCACCTAACCTCGTGTAGGGCAGACTTTTCCCGTTCCTGGTCATCTTTATTGATGTGCATATTTTCGCCTTCGTTCTTTGGTCTGGAGGCATTGATGGCAGACAGCAAACACAGCATTTGATTGCAGGGTTATAAATATCAACGAGAGATTGTGGTAGCAAGAATAGCATCATCACAGCCACTTTTGGATATCGGTGGGGCTTCGCTTCCATTCAATCTGGTAGCCTAGTCGTTCGGGGGACTCCGAAGATGAGCCCATTCAGCCCGCTATATCAAGTCGAGCCACGGTTGACACCAGACCACACGCGATATGACACGTTGTGTGTCCGCGAGAATAGCGACATGAAGTGCAGTACATCGCAATATAGTCATGACATACTTGAGATCCGTTGTGATATAGATATTAGAGGCACCAAGAGTTCGAGGTCGTAAAGAGCGACGACCCACCCGGGTAGCCCTAAAACTCTTCTCCGCAACAAAAGTCGGATAGCAGTGGGTCTTCATGTGTTGGTGCATTGATGCTGACACTGCGCCACTACGGCCGTTACCTAAATCTTTAGTAACAATAACCTTATGCCCCCGAGGATTGGTCAATTTTCTCCCCGATCCAATGGCCAGAGGGCAAAATTTCAATGTGGTGGATACACCGTGCACTCGATCACGGCCGTTGCCCTGAAGGGTTGCATCGCTAGTATCATCGCATATAAAATGCCCTGGTGCTCCAGGTTCGATTATCGTTGACTGCCTGCCAGAGAAGAGCAAAGAGTCGTCATTCCTTGAAAGATGGAGCCGATACAGCTTGGAATCCATGTGGTGCAATCCGTGATCGCGTTGATCATCCTAGGGTGCTCGATCTATGGCGTTACTATAGCATCCACCACGACAGGCTTCGGGCTTGCTATCTTCACGGTGAGTGCCTTTATCCAAATACTCGTTGCATAAATCTAACAGGTGATCCAGGCGATTGCAACGATCCTAGTTGCCATCTACATTCTTACCGCATCTTTCATTGCCAAGAGCATTTATAAACTCTGGCTTCTCGTCGGAGCGAACTGTGTCACGGCGATCTTTTGGATTGCGACCATCGGTACATTGGCATCACAACAATCTTGGAATCACCAATGTCAATACAATCACGGACATTGCTATAGGAAGCGTGATGGAAGCAATAGCCATGGTGTGCAGGCCGCAACGATTGCGCTTAGCGTTATTGACGGGTAGGATACTTGATGAAGAAAGTCATTGAACCTCAACTGACATAGACACTTTAGTCTCCTGTCGATCTTCTCTATTGGGTACAGCCTATGGGCCAAAAAGAATCACCGAACGAAGACTCCTGCAACTGAATGAGCAGGATAATTTGCAGTGCTATGATGTTTACGTTCAAGTTACCTCGGCGAGCTTATAGTAATATTCAATCTCAACAGATTTTAATGCATCCTTCGAGCTGTGGTGGTGGTAAATAGTATTGTGTAGGCAGATTACCAAAACAGAAGCAAGCGAGATTCACATTGAAACAGCAGGTACATAATGCAAGTGCTCACAACAATCGTCACGCGATTCGTTGGCAATAAAGAATTCCGACTCTCTCGCCATTGATCGGACAGGGTAGCAGATTAGTCAAAAGTGATGATGACCTTGGTGGCATTATGTCTTTCAAACCTGGCGTATGCCTCCGGAGCGTCCTCAATGTTGATGACATCGCTCACTATAAACCCCGGTCTCGCTTTGCCGGACGTGACAAGGTGCAGAAGCTCAGGCGCAAGTTCGATTGGCTTCGATGGTCCAGCCCCCCAAGTGAACTCTCCGTAGAAGAATTCGGCGAGTGGGAAATCGACATGAGTATGGACGGTCGAGGCACGAGGCGCAGTTGAGGTATTGTTGGATTCGTGCGAGTAAACCCCGACTGTGCCCATTCCACCTCCGGTGGCAGTGACAGCCAGCATGTTACGGATGATGACGTCCGACTGTACGGTGAGATTTCTGTTCACCTGCTCATATCCAACCGCGTCGATGCTCCGAGCAACTCCGTTCGGCTCCAGTGCTAATATCTGTTCCACTGGGTCGGCGTTCCGGAAATTGATAGGGATAGCTCCGATAGATTCGGCAAGCTGCAGTCGCTCGGGCACGTAGTCAACACTGTAGACAGTAGATGCACCTCGCAAGATGGCTGAGTATGCAGCCATCAGTCCAACAGGCCCAGCCCCAAATACAGCGACCGTGTCACCTGCGTCGAACCCTGCGAAGTCCAGAGATGCCCAACCGGTACCAAATATATCGGATAGCATAACATAATCGTTCAGCAGTGAAACAGAATCATTGGTGCTTGGGTCGGTGTATTCGAGGGTTGGAACTGGGATAAGGCCGTTGTCTCCGAATGGTACACGCAAATATTCAGCTTAGATTTTAACCGTTAGCTTAGAAGGGATTCATACTCGGCAGATGTACTTACCCTGCGTACCACCGAGACTGCCTCCATTCCCGTAGCCGCCGTACATCTGTGTGGTGAGCTCGGTGTGCAGATGCCCTTCATCAACGGTGAAAGGGACAATCACTGGATCCCCAATCTTGAGTGAGTCAACACCAGATCCCACCTCAGATACATAGCCAAAGCCCTCGTGTCCCAGCCCAAATGGAGCTGGCATTCCTTGGTTTGTTCCTCGATAGATATGCAGGTCGGATCCGCAAATAGCTGCTCTAGACATCCGAACAATGACATCTGTCTGGTTTATGATAGTAGGCTTTGGCAGGTCCACCACAGCAACATTATATGCATCTCCTTGCCAGACAACAGCTCGCATCGTTGCATTGATAGCAGATACGTTGGTGAGCGCCATGGTGAGGGGCGTAAAAGACAGACACTGTGTTAATGGACAAGAAGAACACAGTATGCGAGCCATATTTATACCTGTCAAACATGCGTGCCATCCTATTGCTATTGTCCTGAAGAAGCCCCACAGGACAAGGGTATGGACTTGCTCGCTTTTCCGTGGGTTCTAGAATGTCTCCAACACCCCCGGTTGTCCGGCCTCAGCCACTTCAGTGTATGCACTAAACATTTACTCTCCCTCCAATTTGATTACACTGTGGAGACTTGTGTAAGCCTGGTGCATTAAAGTCGGGCTTGGCGCTGCCTGTAGATACGCGACTCCTTCGACATCTGCAGATAGCATATCCAATACTGTTAGCGCGACCTTTCATTCCCCCTGCATCTTGCAGCCTAGACCAGCACTCGTAATGACAGTCTGTATCACATACATCAAGTAGGATAGAACATTAGTTATGTGTGATAGCTAAAGCCGTGGAGAACGAAGATAGGACAATCTCTGGACGGGATTTCGATACCTGCAGCATTAGGCCGAAAGCTAGGTATTCGACCAATATTATAATCATGGAGGCCAACTTCCCAAAATGAGCGTTTCTTCAATGGCCCGAAGATACTATCGCCAAGTAAGAGCATTCCTTGGCTGAGAATAAGCAACCTGCATTAGCGGCGGAGCGAAAGAGATGTCGATCATTGCCGGTGGAATGTTTCGGTTGCTCGAGGACTCGGAGATAAGAATGTTTATCCCATGTTTTCAACCGCTTGCTTACAGGTGACGCAGTCTTTCGGGTTCGAAAGATAACCTTCTACTAGCCCCTGCACGTCGTTTTGCGAGTGGCCTCCGTATTCCAATGGCCTTCACACCAGGATCAAAGGGACACATAGGCGTCTTTGGCTCGCCCGGCACTCTAGGCGGTTTATGTCTACTTGATTGCCCATGCCATCAGGACTCCGAGGGAGATAAAGGCAAAGGAGAATCAAGGAGACTTAATAACCGTAAATGGAGTAACAACAAGCCACCCGAATCAAATATATTTGCAATGTCATCGAAGTTCACTCTCGCTCTATCCTTGTGTAAAACCTGTCTGAGTCGGAGTGGAAATGCAACCCTATCTGTTCCCGGCCTGTGTTTTTCCAAATACTACCACTAAAATAACCCGATTGTAACAATTACCCTGAATATAGTGCCGCCCGTTATTGCCTTCCATATCTGCAGACCGAGAGATGCTCTTTCAAACCCTAGTCGCGTGATTTTAGAAACGTGTTGCGTCTGCTGAGTTGTATTCCGTGATCGCAGGAGCATATGGGATTTCCCGCTAGTACACCTCGCATGTCTCCGAAGAAAGAAAACATGGCACAATGAGAGCAATGATAGCAGTCTTCATTTCCATACACGGAATCCATTGATCCAGCTCGCTTGTCACTCGAGAGTAATCACAAAGAGGGCAGTACAATCATCGGCTTGTCCGATCTGACTCGAAACCTATATCAAGAGATTAGTAGGTGCCGTGCCAATCTGCAGAGTTTTAATACCTTCAAGGTTTTGCCTTCACACGACGCGGAATTGTGTTCTTCTGCCGGCTGAGCATAGAGCCAATTATAATGGCTCTTGTCGATGCCTTCGTTCTCCGTCAGGATGGCTGCGGTGATGTAACTGCTCTTAGAGCTGAATTCCGGGTTTTCAGCGAGTAGGCGCAGATATAGAGTCTACTCGCCCTCAATCTTGTAGCCCACCATTCCCGCTGTCCCTACGAACGCACGGCTGGTGCGTATGAGATGGCCCCCATCACTGGTTGTGTAAGGATCCGCCTGTAGATGGAAGTTATATTAGACCTATACTGAAGAAGGGAGTGTCTGTTCTTACCGAAGACGGAGGTCCGCAAAATCGCCGAAATGAGCATAACAACCTTGCGCAACGAGGGTGTAACCAGTTTGATTACGCACTTGGAACCGAACCTGGTTCCTCTCCCTGGATGCTACGACTTCAATATCGTCGCCGTGGTCCGACATTCTCAAAAAGTAGTCTCAGTAGTCTACTGGATTTGGTGGTTTGATGGGTAGGACTGGGGATCTTATTTCCTTAAATGCTAGGATCTCCTGCCAGATGACGTGGCTGATATTCCTTCTCTCAAAGCTTTTGCGAGCCCTAGTCCGTCCTCCACTAGTATAGGATAAATTTAAAATAAGATCTCGTATCTGATCTCCGTACGTTGGTTTCAGCCAGCCACCCCTCGCTAAGCGATAGCGTATGGGAATCCCCGCAGAGTCGGTGTAGAAACGTAGGGTACTCGAATGTCTTTCCCTGTGGAGAGCCGACGATGGAAGGTGGGATACTTTCATGCCTGGTACCATACAAACCTCGAACAAAATATCAATATGGAATGCAAGACCGGTCGCCACTGTAGGCCGTCTCAACTGGTACCAGTAAGACCCAACATCTGCTCTTAGGTCCAAGTTGATCCGATCAAAAGGTACGGAGACATGTTTATACTACCACAGGGCACCCAGCTGACTCTGCACATGAAGTTATCTATCACCAAACACGTGACCCCATCCATGACGGTATGATGGGCATTTCTTTGAACGGCCAGACCTGGAGAAAGGCAATCTAAATGGGCTTGTGGCAATAACTGGGGAAACACCACCCACACTGCGGTGGGTCTACCTAGATAAGGACACTGACGAGATGAGATGGGGAGGCAAGCAAGACAGGGAGGAGAATAATGGTGCAGGCCTCTCTCTCGGCACGCAAAGTTTGCAAATTTATGAGAAGACTCCTAGCAGATTGTTGATATCAGGGACCCATGTCGTAGTTTGCGGTCTGGAGAGTTCACTGCGAATGTTCCCCGTGGAGAGGAAGTGATAACATCTGTAGACTTGCCGACTCATCGAAAATACTCTTTCGCGTCATCGAAGGGTCCCATATAAGATGTTGCCTCCAGGTAACAAGTACATACGACCACAGGGTGTGGAGAACAGGGCTTCCCGTCCGCTCAGCCGTACTTAAGCCACACGCCGGGAGGTTAGTAGTTGGGTGGGTGACCACCAGCGAATCCCTCCTGTTGTATGTTTTTTTTATATATATCTTGTTGGTCCTTCCCATTAGTTACTCATCTGCCTGCTGGGAAGTCTGTTACCTCCTGATATCGTCAAGAAAGTGGAGTCAACCCCCAAGTCAAACAAAGGATGCCTTTCAATGAGGTCGCGGGTGAAACTCGATTCCAATGGCTCCAAGGCTAGCTCACGGCTCTCTGGAACTGCAAGCTTTGCATAGAGCAATAATCGCTGGGCTAGATCGAGGTTTGTGTTCTTGATTGAAAGAAGGATATTGCCATGGTTGAAGATCTCCAAGATTGAGTCGCGGATTCTGTCGTGCCGCAGGAACACCAAATTGTTTTGAGTAAAGACTAAAGACGCCACAGGCTTCAAAATCTGAAGTGGGCTTTCCCTGTCCTGCTCTATGATCTTTTGTTTGTCTTGCTGAATGGAGAGGAGAGCAGACAATTCCTGTACCTGTAGCGGCCGACAAGCCGTGGCAAGCCAAACGACGAGTCTTATGGCTTCTTGGGTCACATTCGAATGCAGAGTGCGATGAATGATGTCTTTTATCGTGGGCTTTCTACTGACAATATTGTTAACCGCCTTTACCAGAGCCTGCGTGTTGGACGGGGCCTCGTCCCGAAGTTGTTTCGAAGCCAGTTTAGCCCACAGGAAAGAGCGATTTGAAGCCTCGGCAATCCGAGTAACTTGGATCTCACGCTGTTCTTGAGGAGCTTTGGTGAAGGCATCGCTTCCTTGCAGGATAATTTGCACAACTGCAGAAATATCATCCAGAATAAGCTCTGGCATAACGCATACTGTGTCCTGTCCCTTCTGGGAGGTCTTAGATTCCTGCTGGGAAGTGAGTAGGATCAGCTTGGTACTCTTTGCGTTATGGGTAGCGTGTCGGAGCCTCTTCAATAAAGCTGCTTCGCCACCGTTGGCTTCGTCCACGCCATCAACTATCAAGACTAATTCCTTCGCGTCTTTCCGGCTAGCTTCAAGTGCTCTTTGGAGACAGTGCTCTGTCTGAACACACTGTTGGAAACAACCCCATTGTCTGCCCGGATACTCGTGTATTCATTTCTACCAATTTCATAGGAGCCATTTATTTCGTCTACTTTCAAGGGGCTTTGGCCTGCCCAGCCTCTATAGTCAAGTTCAGTAGGGTCGAGCAAGGTCCTCCCAAATCTCCACGTCCGCAGGCCGAATGCAACAGTCGTGTGGAGCCGGGTGGGTAGAGGAAGATGGGGACATGGACTGCGAGTATACCCTCTTGCTCAGACCTGACGAGCAAACATTACGTTCCGTCATCCCCACTGAGCCATTTGGAGCCTGCGCGGGGTCATAAAGATACGCACTATGATACGGCCAATAGACCGCAATCCCCGGTCTGGAACCGCAACAAATGCCCGATTAACTCAGATCTATCGATAGGCCTGGATGTCGACCCCACTGAATGCAACCTGTCCGATGAGGCTGCCCTCGAAGCGAGTAGGCCAGAGACAGGATCTGCACCCAGCGCCAAGAAGGCCTCGTTAAAGGCATTGTTGGAAAAGATCCGACGGGAAAATGGGACTGATCAAGTGGATTTACTCACCCTGTGCTTCGGGGAACCTGGAGTCGATCTTCATGTACACATCCAAGGCGATTTTACCGTGGCCTTACCGTAGGCTTTCTTTCCTTTTCTTTTCGGACCGTTTGACCCCCACTTATATTGTGGACAAATATTGAAGACCTATGCTAATGAAAGAATAGACCTACTATCATAGGAATTGTGTGTGCGTTGACTGGTAGTTGCACACAGGCTATATATATATAGTCACAGACACTGGGAATCATTCAATCATTCTTCATAATCCAGGAGATTCTAGCAACAGTCTTTTCGTAGTACTACCGAGCCGTCTGTGCACACCAAGTAGACCTGTCCATTAATTAAGTACTCTTTCACCAGTGTATCCAGGAACCATTTGAACATTGACGATTACCGCACCTGTTTGCCTCCACGAGTCGGGGCGTTCCTACCGCATAACTGGCTATGTATTGCTTATCAAAAGCTTCCTCAACAAACAACGGTCTTTGATATAACTTATGTAACCATATGCCTCATAGCTTGAGGTCTACTTTACAACTACCAATCAAGAGCAGTGTTCCTATACACTACAAAAAGCTACTCTCCAGAGTCTCCAGTAGGGCTACCTAAGCTTGTGCGTTTGATTGTTGGGGCAGAATTCGCTCTCGTTGACTGACAATTATCCACACCGCCTACTAAACAAGGCTGGCTGCGCCACACTTTCGAGCGGCAAGTAACATAACTTTGGTAATCTTCGGTATCGAACAGGAATCCAAGAATACGATTTACGGGCAATCTTGGAAAAGCTGCAACAAACCGAAGATCTCGTTTTCAATCACTTCAACCTGGGATGCACTTTGGGAAGTTGTTATATAGAAACCCCGGGCTCCCACTCCAGTATGTCCAAGTTTCAACACACGAATCAGGCACCCCATGTAGTCAGCTCATCTCATCCACATCTCGGGGCTCGTCGCTTCCCGAGTAGTCCGAAAATCGCGAGACATTCATTCGGGCAAGACCAATCTTGAAGGATATTTAGAGAGGGAATCATGCTAAAAGAACAATGCTATCACTTAATAGACATACATCGAGAGTAGCAAACATGAATATCAACGGTGATCTCAACATAGCATACGCTTCGCATTCTACTATGGAAGAATTGAGCAGAAGTCTGGTGAACGACGTCGAGGTACTGAACAACCACCTTGTTTCTACTGGCCATCCCCAGCCTTCATTCGATCGCCAAACACCCACAGTTGTACTGCACGCTGGCGCCTCGCCGGATGCTCATGCTGCAAGAGAGCGGATCCTGGATAACGCCTTGCGCCTCTTCCAACTTGCCGCAGGACCAAGTGCGTATTTGTTGAACTTGCAGACAGGGGTAAGATAACACCACCTGGTATAAAGAGCGTTGTTGTATTAAGTCCAGACTAGTATCACTATGCATCTTGCCTGCGATGGCTCTGTCACTTTCGGATCTTCCACCTAGTGCCTCTAGAGGGCTCGATTGCTTACGCTGACCTGGCCATCCTTGCCAAGGCACCCGAGCCTCAGCTCAGAAGTGTTGTTCGCATGGCTATGACCAATGGTCTTTTCCATGAAGGCCCACCGCATCATGTCACACACTCTGCCACATCTGCTTTGCTGCGCAATGATGCCGATTCCTATGATTGGGCTGTCATCATGAGTGACCTATCCGTACCGGCTGCCTTTGCAATGGTGGAAGCACATGAACGGTGGCCAGGTAGCATTGAAGGGAATCAGACGGCGTATAATATCGCGGTTGACACGGAATTGTCCTTCTTCAATCATTTGGCTGAACATCCAGATCGAAAGCGCCAATTTGCCGGCTTTATGCGCAGTATGTCGCGTAGCCAAGGGACAGATGCCGAGAAGCTCGCAGAGGGATGGGACTGGGCCGCCCTTGGACATGCTTCTGTAGTTGATGTAAGTATCATTCTAATCTCATAGGGACATTGGATTCTGACGACCATAGGTGGGTGGGTCCACCGGCCATACTTCGGTTGCGCTGGCCCGCAAGTTCCCTGACTTGACCTTCGTTGTGGAGGACTTGCCCGAGGTAGTGGCTGAGGGTCCTGAATATCTCTCCTCTCTAGATGATGCACGAGACTTGAAGCCACGCGTTAGTTATCGAGCACACAGCTTCTTTGATCCACAGCCCGTGCAAGATGCTGACGTATACATGCTGCGGATGATACTGCACAATTGGTCGTTCGATGACTGTGTGCGGATCCTGTCACGTCTCGTCCAGACTTTGAAACCTGGTGCATGTATTATCATCGTCGATATTGTGTTGCCGGGTCCGGGTATGATTCCAGCATCTAAGGAAAGACTGCTGCGCGCCCAAGACCTCATAGTGCAACAAGTGTTCAACGGCATGGAAAGACAGCTGGAGGACTGGATGAGTATCTTCAGAAAGGTTGATGAACGGCTTAAAGTGAAGATTAAGGAACCCCACGGAAGCTTAATGTCACTGATTGAGCTGAGTCTGGATGTATAGAAATGGATTCTGTTTTCAGGAAAGTGCTTGGTATATAGGTTGAGAATATGAAGGGAAATGTACAAATGTTGCAATTCTTCGATATCTTTGCAATATTTATTGCGACCAGGGTTCTCTAAGCCACACTGTGCTAATTATGTAGACTGACATGGATGGATGGAAGAGCTGTGTACAATTTCATTTGGATATCTATAATGACCTGTAGAAACGTGGTACACCATTCTATGTTGGCAAATATTCTGTATTGCTTCGCCTTTTGACGAACACCATTTCTCACTTCTTCTCCAAGGGATTGTGCTATCAGGGAAGCTTGACAAGGAGCGGATTGAATGACCTACTTATATACAGGCCATGTTATACGTCTACTTTGAGCCCGGGTTCTAGAAGGTAGATTTCTGAATGCAACCACACTATATTGGCATTAACGGCATTCGTGTCTACTATGGGTGGCCGTAAAACAAAATGATGACAATGAGACAATACAAAAGAACTACCCCGAGACACTTGGCCGGTCATTGTTGGGGCCAAGTCTCGCTATCATCGGCTTCCCCGGCGCCATCGGGGTACGTCGGACGTTTCGGTATAAATCCTTGTAGGGTTGGGTGGTTTCCCGAATGTGCGAACACAGCCCAGTCTGACAAATCCCCTATGATCGATATTGCTTTACCTTCTGTCGGTTTATATACAGCAATGGGAACTGTTATTCCAAATGTGGCTCAGTGTTTACCGCCTATGAACACTAGCAAATATGGTCACTATTTACCTTTTCGGAGATCAAACTGTCCGCGTGGACGATGCTCTCCACAAACTATTATACGTGAAGAATAGCCCGACATTAAAGTCCTTTCTCGATGAAGCCTTTGCTGCTATAAGGAAGGAGATATTCATATTACCAGCAAATGAGCGAACCTCGCTGCCAGACGCACACACACTCCCCCTTCTGCTAGGAGCGGTCAGAAATGGACGACGCCATGTTGCCCTAGACAGTGCATTAGTTTGCCTGTACGAGATAGCGCAATACATTCTGTGAGTGGTAATATATGCATCAATACTTCTCATACTCATCTATCCGCAGACTCTTACAGACTACGGATCTTTGCCATCCACCAACCGGCTCCGTCCTAGTTGGGTTTTGCACCGGATCACTCGCAGCTGCTGCGGTTTCTTGCGCACGAACTAGTCTTGATCTGCTTGCCCTCGGCATTGAGGCTGTGATAACTGCATTTCGGGTTGGAATTCAGGTGGCTCGACGGGCTAATGCACTGGCTGGGGAAGATGGTTTGCAGTGGAAACCATGGTCACTCGCGGTGGCAGATATTCCAGAATCAGAGGCTGAACAGATACTGGAGGCATTTGTTCGGGATAAGGTAAGTGGTGGACACACGGACAATACGCAAGATACTCATACGCATGCACAGGATATCCCGACAATTATGAAGCCATATGTCAGCGCTGCTGGAAGCAATAACATTACGATCAGCGGTACCCCAAAGGTGCTTGAGGCATTAAAGACCTTTTCCCACTTTCAAGGTACAAAGTCGTTGCCGGTGTCAATCTATGCACCATATCACGCGGCGCATCTATACAGCGAGGTCGACGTAGAAAGTATCCTCGGGCACAAACCAGTTGACCGATCTCTGTTTTGTCGTGAATCGAACACGTCCCTCATATCCTGTGCCACGGGCATTGTCCTGAAGGAGAAAACATTTGGTGACTTACTTCGAGCACTGGTTAGGGAGATCTTGACCTGCCAGATAAGATTTGACAAGGTTGAGGAGAGTATTGTTCAGCATAGCCCTGATGCCACCGCTCAAATCGTCCCTATCCACACGAATATGGTATCCAGAATGAAAACATCATTAACTCAAGTCGGCATCGAGGTGGAGTGCTTGAAGGCGACGGCAACCCAGGGACCGGCAGCGGAGGCTTTGCCAGCATCGTCAGGCATTGAAGCATCCAAGATCGCCATTATTGGTTTTAGTGGTCGTTTTCCGGAAGCAGACGGTCTGACCGAGTTCTGGGAACTATTGCAGCAAGGACTGGATGTCCATAAACCTATCCCTGCCGACAGGTTCGACCGTGAGGCTCATTACGATGCTACACTCCGACGTAAAAATACTAGTCGTATCAAACATGGTTGCTGGATACGAAATCCCGGATCATTCGACGCGCGTTTCTTCCAAATGTCCCCACGCGAGGCATGCCAGACGGATCCTGCGCAACGCCTGGCTCTTCTCACAGCGTACGAAGCCATGGAAATGGCTGGATTTGTCCCGGACCGTACCCCAGCAAGCCAGCGGGATCGTGTGGGTGTATACTACGGCATGACGAGCGATGACTGGCGCGAAGTCAACAGTAGCCAAGATATTGATACCTATTTCATCCCAGGGGGTATCAGAGCTTTTGTTCCCGGCCGCCTCAATTACTTCTTCAAATTCAGCGGACCGAGCATTACAGTGGATACAGCATGCTCATCCAGCCTGGCAGCTATTCATACTGCCTGCAGCGCTCTACTTAATGGTGACTGCGATACTGCCTTGGCCGGTGGTACAAATATTTTAACGAACCCCGACAACTTC